GAATGCAATTTAGAATTACTAGTTACCATAGGTTCCGCATAACCAATACCTATTCATGCGATACAAGTGACTAGTCAACCTAATTTCGGCATTAATTTTTCATCAGGATTCATTTGATTACAAAATAGTTTGAGAAAATACGCAATCGACAGCATGTTTAGGTAATAGGTTACATTTTTGATCCGAGCATGCCAATAACAAATTGTAAGTTGTAATATGAATCTAAAAAAAATGTGTAACTTAACCTACCTTGAGATATGTTTACTTTTTCCATATAATACAATTCAATATACTTCCTCCTCCTCCGTTTTAACAAACTTAAGATTTTTTTTAGATTAAAAAAAATCAGAACTAGAGAAGATTAATTCCTTAAGTTTTACTCAGAGTTCTGTAAGTAATTTCGTCCAATTACCGATTTGATTAAATTAACGATATATCTTGAAAAGTAAGTCTCAATAGTCAACTGTTTTATTCACTTGTATTGGTTTTATATTAGCCACAAGAGGCGATCGATCGCTTCACTTTCTACAATAACTAGTAGAGTATATTTCTCAAGCTAAACGATTTTCTAAATGATACTGAAAAAACTTCAGGACGCTATCTCAGATGTCGTGTAATGATATATACGTTTATGGACTTTTAATCATAAATTAACCAATCGACAGATGTGACAACAACTGCATATAACTTAATTTAGTTTTGTTCAAACTTAATTATTTGAAGACCCACGAAATTGGCACACACTGCAGATAAGACTCAGGAATAGACCAATTAAGATGTTATAATAGTTACTTGTACAGTATATTCTCAAGTATTCATTTGTTAGAAACCATATTCAAAGTATTCATGTCTAGATCAATTTTATTGCCGTCTTATACGACCTAACTCCATCCTGCTGTTATTAAACGCATAAATCCCTTAAATTCTCATAAATAAATCTGTAAATGGCAGTATATTTTCTGCCAATGACATATTCATGTCAGGGGTTCTCATTATAACAGTTTCCAAATCACACTACATCATATTATGCAAGTCAATCAATTATGGTAACTTTCTACAGATTGTGTATAAGATTATTTTCAATAATTATGTTTCTGCACGAAGATTTTGGTTTGATGTATAGCTTAATCATATATAGACAACATAAACATAAATGACAAATGAACAAATTGGTAAGGAAAAGGTCACAAAGTATTTTCCTATGCATGTGGACAGCCAACGACAACAAGCCAGATTGAAAATATGCACCCAACATCTCAAACTTTTCAGCAACAAAGAAAAACACGACACGTACAAGTCAGGAATAGTACATAAGTACCAGTGGCGGAGCCAAAAGGGGGTAGACCCCCCCCACCCCCCGCTCCCCCCTCTCGCAGCCCCGAAAGCACGGGCAAAAATCTCATCACTAGGTTAGAGATTCGGGCAATATCAGATATCCCCCCCACCCCCCTCCTTTGGACGTAAACCTGACTCCGCCATTGATAAGTACATGCTTTCCAAATTGGTCGTACCAAAACTAGGAAACTGTTGATGTTAAGTTTCTCAGCTTTTGTTTTTGGTATTCCAGTAGGGATATGGGATTTAGGGCCTACACTAAATAAAGGACTGCATTCTCAAATGGTCAATATTTATGTGATCCAATGCAATTATGCATTGAGGAAGCACATAACTAAAATAAGGCATTGATTTGAAGATAATTACTAATGTTGAAGCAGGATATGCCACCTTTTGACAAAATCCTCTCTGTGACTGAAAAAAAGACCAATTTGGAGACGGCATGTAATTGATATCCATTCTTAGAGGCAGTCAGATTATTGATTAACCTGTGTTTTTTCCTTTTCATGTTTCATTAACTGTCTAATAATTCACTGGAACTGTTTTTCCCGTATAATTAATATTACCATGGAATTGATCAAATCCAGATTACAATCCGTGAGCATGAACAAAAAGTTCTGAATATGATGTGGTTGAAATTGTGCATAAAATGCATTAGATGATAATATGACAAGTTAACGTTCGATTCCAGCGGATGCTGATATCGCAAGCTAGGAAGTTGTTGGTTGTCGTAGTAGTTGGTAGATGGATTGGTTCAGTTGGATGATTCTGTGCTGTTGGTTTGGTAGTTGATCAAACTATGGCTCGTCATTTTAAGATACTCTCTGATGTATATAAAAGACATACATAGAAATAGTGAGTAAAATTCCTAGTTTGAAGTATTCTTAAAGGAATTATGCGATTTTCGTACATTTCTAGTACATCTGAAGACTATTTACATACATTCAAAACTCAAATCAAACCCCTTTAAAACTAACCAAATGTCTGGCATTTCAGATTTCCAGTAATTACTTTTTTTTTTAAATATTATTATCAAGCATGATGGGTCTTGTCACTTATTTCATTGATCCTACAATGACATATGTATGGGAATGAGATATCACAATTCTTCGTAACGTCAATTAACTCTGACAAATTAAATCACAATTGAATTAAAGAATGCTAAGTATACTATGACAAGCAAGTATAAAAAAAAGTCTATTGCGTGGGAGTGACATGGTTAATTTTATACCCCACAACTCACTTCGAATTAAGTTTATCAAATACTATATTATTTATAGTATCCAGTTTTTAACATTTTATTCTAGGTAACAGTAAATTTTTCCCCAAACCTACTGCTACAATTTGAAAGAGTTAAAACACTTTCCAAGTCAAACGAGTAAACAGAATAACTTTCTTTATCTCTAACCCCGATCACGACAGAAGTTCGGTTGTACCTTTGGATAATTTCCTTATGTTTTTATGTCTTTTCGCGTATAACATTAAAGCTGCATAATATCTTCATTCTATCAAGACTAAACAGACGTCGGAATCTGCTTATTCTGAACCTGAAGTTATGCAAATGAATTTTAACAGTGGCAAAGACTACAATTAAGGATAGTCAATTAGTGGTATAGTGTTGTCATGAATCTAAACAATACTGATTACAACCTACATGTACCCTTCAATCTTGATAAATAATTAGGCCCAATCGTACACAATCTTGTAAGTTCAAAATACAATAATTACAATAAAATACAATTAAGCAAGCATCAAGGGATCAGACCTTTAGTAAAGTCAGTATTTTCTTTAACCTAATTGTAATGAAGATGAGAAACATAACTGTCAATACGGTATGGGTGACCTTGGAATTATCTGATTATGAATTATATCAATATTCATTTCAATATTATCGTAGTGAAAAAGCATCTGATAAAACAGATTCAAATGAAAGAAACTGGAAGAAAATCACGAGAGAAAGTTGTAACATATGATGTTCGTAATATTACTTGAATGATTAAAATACGACTTGTCTGGTCTGTGGATGTGATAGGGGCTACTGTGTTCATCCGATGTTGTTGCAACATGGTTTGCGAAATGTGCAATATTGGTTTATTTTTACAATTAAGGGTAAGACTATGATGAGACATTGAAGAAAGTTGTCAGTACATTTCATAGTCCATTTATGATTTTTTTTTAATAATACATAATGGTTGGCGAGATTTCAGTATCCGCTATCTTAGAACCATTTCCGGTTTGAAGATTACCAGACAATTCATCTCATTTAATTTGTAAAAATTTATTTATCTCCTGTATCATATATGGCGGCGAGATAAGTTTTTTATGATTTTTTTTGTGTGTTTATCACAATCTTTATCATTGACCATTCGATTTTTCGCCATTAGCTTAATTATCATTAACTGGTTCATGGTAATTCATTGCATCAATGTTTTTTTCGCTACAGAAGTACGATTGCACGACACAGGGTTCTAATAGTTACATTTAAACTGGTAATTCAATATTTCCACTATTTCTCACCAGTACGTCTCATTTATGTTAAATTTTGGGATTTGGGTTGCTCTCAGGCTACATAACTACATAAAATGTTAACAACATGAAATTCCACATAATACTAGGTTTCTGTATACATGTACACATACATACATGAGCCAGGCTAATAATAATAATTTTAATGATATCTGTATAGGGACATAAATTCGACCAGGTCTGTTTACAATTTAGTCAAAAATTTGCAAAAAATCACAATAAAATCAATAATGTAAAAAGGATATATTTTTTGTGTTCTGCAGATAAACGTGTTTAGCAGTGATATTTACTTGCCAAAATAAATAATAAATTTGTACCATACTTTTTATGCAGCATTTGATATCAAACAGTTTTTCAAAAGTGATCGATAAATGAAATGTTCAATTTTGTATTTTTACATTAAACGTAATTCCCTTCTAAAACTAAAAAAGCCTCTGGAACGAATTATGTTGCTGAAGGAGCATGAAGGAAAACAAAATTTGAATTGAACGTATAACATGATTTCCTGATTCAAATTTGCCCTATCAAAAATTACAAAAATTCTCAATTACAGCTTATGTCGACACCCTTCTTTGCGGATTTTTGGTGGTAGATTGTCACACCAAAATATCTCCAATCTCTTCAACACCATATCATTCCGCTACAGAAACGACCGGCTCTAAATACATACGAATGGAAACGTACGGTAACATTTCGAAGTTGCAACACGCGACGTTTCTCAAAAGTTTACCCTCCAAACAAATCAAATGTTTTCTTGTTTTTGGGTCAATAACAATTTGTTTATTTTGTTTGATTTCTGCAAGTTGATTGTCAATGTTAAACAGCCCATTGTAAACATTGTTCTCAAGAAATAAAGGCCTCGCTATTCACTGGGCATTGATTCAAATTCTTCACCAATCCGACATTGTACGTCTGTGGACCCGTGATTAGGAAAATTATGTCTCCAAAATAGCTGACATGTAACATCTCGTTGTTTTCGCATCGAGATTTAACCAGATTTCGTTGTTTAGAATGAATATCACATTTCAATTCGTAGACTCGCAATTGAATATAGTTTTATATCGTATAGTGACCTAACATTTACGTATAGCTGTAACGAGTGAATCCCAAGTAAGATTTGGACTACACGACTGATCAAAATGCATCTGGGATCCATTTATTTAATGGTAGTATTACTTATCTATTTTGCGTATACAGATGATAGAAAAGAGCGGGAAAATGTTGACGTCATAAACCCAGAAGAAAACTTGGTGCAAGACGATGAGCAGTATGTCGGCGATTCAACAGAAAATATTGAAAAAAGTGGCAGTGAAGAAGAAGAAGAAGACAAAGAAGCAATAGAAGAAGAGGAAGACGAAGAAGAAGAATTGAATTATCGTTACATTCCAGAACCTGCTCAAGATATAGTTGATAATGGGAAGAAGTATATTCAGGTGCATTGTAGTTTTAAACAAGATGAAAGTTTAATTCGACATCCCTCTAATTGTTCTCGATATTTTGTGTGCTCATATGGAGTTGTTGAAGAAATGCCTGTATGTGATGATGGAGAGGTATTTTCTATACAAGTTAGTGAATGTGTTAAGAAAGGTTCTGAAAATGATGACTGTGATAAACTACCATTTGATTCTCCACCAGAAATAACCAGGGGAACGCAACCATCTTTAATTTGGCATCCTCGACACAAATCTCCTCGAAGCCAATTTAGACAACCAACTACTTTACAAATGAAAGGTTTGTCTTACTTTTCATTTATTAGAATACAATAGCATGATGAAAACGAATTACGGTTGACTGGCTGAAAGCTACTATTTTTGCAGTCTGTTTTCTCAAGGGTAGAGATTTTGAGTTGGTTTAATTTGCCATTTCGGTATATCTTTTCATATGATAGATGTCTTTTTGTGTTTTTCAACAGAGACTCTAGATACTTTTGTAAAGGCTTGTGTTGAATATACTTTTACTTTGGCCACGGGGAGTTGGGTCACTAGGCCACAGTAATTGGATGGGAAATTGGTCACAGCAATATGGCCACAAGAGTGAGGGATAGTAAAGAGAAACTCTGCTCACTAATCATTTTTATTATGTTTGAGAAAATATATTGTTACAAAAATGGTCACAAGTTATATTGGCAACAGTAATTTGATCACAGTAACAGTGTAAAATGTAAATTTGTCACTAAATACATCGATGTGGATAAAGCACAGCGGCATATATGCTAGATGCATATATACCGCATAGATCCTTTCGCTTTTTAACGCTCTTCATCTGAACAGTACAGCTGTGATCAGATTGAGTTATCCGAAGCGATATAAAAGATTTTCACCTCTACCTTTTGAGCCACCACACCACAATGAATCGGCTTGTATGAACTAACGTTAAGTACAATAAAGTACTATTAAAATAATAAAACTGCTTTCAGATTTAGTTCGTTACGACTTGTACCGATTCTTTAAAGAATCATGAGAATGAAAATAATTGGAAGTTAGAAATGTTTATCTAAATAACACTGAAATATTGACTTGGTGGCTTCAGCTTATTGTTCAACAAACAGATAATATTAATATTGATTATTATGAAGAAAACACACTACAAAATGAAATATTATTATAAGGTCTAAATGCAATATTTATTCTGATTTTTAAACGATGCATAAACATTAGTCCATATAATCACCGAGAAAAACTTGTTAAAAGATCTAAAGAGTTGTTCATTAAAAGTATCTATGTTCAGATCTTTTTTGCTCTCAATTATTCTCTCCAATTAGTCCATCCAATACCCGGTTCTGTCCTATTATGCTGTCCAATTAGTCTATCCAATAACCGGTTTTGTAATATTGTGCTCTCAAATTAGTATAACCGGTTTAGCCCTATCATGACCTCCAAATGGTAGATGTAATACCCAGTTCTGTCCTATTATTCTCTCCACTTAGTCTATCCAATACTCAATTCTGTCCTATTATCCTCTCTAAAGGTTTTCTAATAACCAGTTCTTTCCTAATACGATCCTCAATCAGTCTTGCCATTAACCGCTACTACTATTATGTTCTGTTATGAGCGTCATTTATTAAATACCTCGCCCCATACAGGAGCATGGCTTCGACAGGCTATATTTAAAACGATTTCATTCCATTTTTGTTTCAGTTCCCCACATAGAATTGGAATCATTTACATGCAGCGCGACAGGGAAAGTATTAAGCCACCATTCTGAGAACTGTGCCTGGTATTACAACTGCAGCGCCCACCCTGATGCCGTCATGCAGACATTTTACAGTGGATTTATAATGGAATGTCCTTACCCACAACTGTTCTCCACAGAAACTAAACAGTGTGAAGATTTTGAAGATGTTAAATGTGGTGATCGATACGAACCAAAATCACCGTGTAAGACCGTGTTCTGCTCCATTAGATTTCTTTGTCAACCACCTTATTGAATCATCAAGTTGCTGGTCAATCAAACCCGTAATCTAGAATGACACGCTTTGATTCGTTAACAAAAACGTCATTTGAACGGGACTGTGGTAACAGACATGCTAGATTACAATGGCGAAGAAAAATATCAGAAAACAAACAAGAGACGCAATTGTAATCTAACTTTAAGTTTGTTACAGGTTGATTGAACTACTATTCTGTTTCTCAGATATTGTCGTTGTTAGTACTTGTATCGGACTCTTTGTCTATTCCAGGTGATTACAGAGCCAATCATTGTCACGAAACATCTCACTGTATACCTTGCTGGGTACGATACGCTTCTTGTCTAGAATTACCAGATGGGCTCAACCCTTGGTCAGAACTGGAATGGAAACCTTTCTTTGTAGAATGTTATAAAGAACGAACAGTGTTCCAAGGCGTGTGTGATAAAAGTGCTGTTTTTTCGCCTTTGACCAGGGCTTGTGAAACCCCATATAGTATTCCTAGACAACATGGCGGATGGCGGCCAGTGTGTGATGGTAGAAGAGACGGGATATACGCTGATGAATACGGAAGATGTGACATATATTATGTATGTAAGGGCTATATTTTCACCGGGTTCTTTCGATGTGAAAAGGGAGAAATGTTTAATCCTGTAATTTCAATATGCCAGAAACCGGAAGCAGTACCGTATCCCTGTGGAGATTTGGAAATGCCTAATATTTGTGAATCCTCACTTAATGGCTACCACTTAGACATGTTTGGCAGATGTACCCATTATTTTGAATGTAAAGATCAACAACTAGAAGGAATTTCAATGTGTCCTAGTGGTATATTTAACCCAGAATTACAAATCTGTGAATCCAGCCGTGATCAGCCCAAACCTTGTGGTAATCTAACCAATTTATGTACTCATAAAAACGATGGATTCCATTCCGACGAGAATGACTGTACGAAGGTGTTCCAGTGTGAACGAGGTCTGACTATGACATCCTATGACTGTAGTGGTAGTGTTCGTACAGAATGTGATGTTTGTAATACGCCAACTGAGTGTAATGATAAACCAAATGGATTATATCCCAATCTGAAGGAAGGGGTGGGGTATTATTACGACTGTGTTAGAAGTCAAATCCAAAATCATTATAAATGTGACAAAGAAAAGGGCGGTCCAATATTTAATCCAGTAAAACAGAGATGTTTTTATCCCGAAGATTTGTGTAAAGAAGTTTTCAGTCTCAAAATAGCATGGTAAGTTGATATACATTGGCTACATAAAATTAGAAACTCGAATTTTATCTCTACTATTCAAACCCTTTCCATTTTTCAAATCCGATTTCAAATTTAAATTTAAAGTTTGTAAGGTATAGTTTAACACAAATTCATTGCACATTCAACTCTTTTCAGCTAACTTATCTCCCATGCTTGATATATCATCGCTGGAACGGCTGTAAACATCGATCTACACTGTACGAACTCCAAGTTTCACCTCGTACCATCAACATCGTTGGTAACTTCAAGTTGGAAACTCCCAAGTCCCAATCTTCACATTTTCTTCACTCAGTTAGAAGTGTCCTCAAACGTGGGTTAGTTTATCTCGGAGCTCCATTTGCCATCACGTCAATTATTAGAACAAGGAGCGAATAGAAGATATCTCTTACACGTATTTCAGTGCAAGTTATTTCCCTTGCTTTACTTTTTTGCAATTGGCTTTTGTGATCTAGTATTGTATATTGTGTATAATTATATGGAAGAAAAGATAACTTTTATTGTATTTATACCTTCCAGACGGTATTCTGGATAATCAAAAGAATAAACGTTTGCAAATCTAGACCTGTAAAGCAATGGTGCAGTCGTGCAATGGTATTTGTGCACATCTGGGTTCGTTTAAAAACATCAATAAGAGCAGTGGATTGTATTTAGGGATTATGAATTAGTAATTAAAACTACTATTACTTTACCATGCCGTGCTCATGTTTTGAATCGGACTAATATGTGTACACATCATTTTGTTCGACTATATTGACAATATTTCAGAATTTTTCCAGTTAATAGTCTTTACATTTAATATACACATGATTATACTTTACTATATATGTTGTTTACATACATGATAGCTTTGGATATCAGTACTTATTCTGATAATTAGTCAAATAACAATAAAACTCTATTTATGAAATGGTAATATGATAAACAATACATAGATACAACAATTATATATAAACGTCACTCAAGACATATTTACACCGAATTTATATATCCAAGGAATGAATATGTTAGTTCTTAAAGTTCTTTTAGCTGTTAAATCTAGTGTCCCCGATATCAATTTATATGTGTCAAAAAATTTGTTAAAATTCTGACATCTTTGTAGAAGATAAATCTGATAAATCGTCAGATAACATATAACCGCCATGTCGTTTCTTTCTCTGTATCAATATCACTATAACAATTAATATCGCTATAACACCACCTAAAACACTACCAATAGTCATTGTCACTTCTTTATCAGTTAACAGTGATTGGGAATCACTATTCTCTTTCTCGCCCAATGTGGTCTTTTCAGGTTGCCCAGGGGTGATTGAAGGTTTGCCGGTGTCTTTATTTGGGTCTATGGTTGTACTTGTGATCGCTTGTTGAAAGGTTGTAGTAAAAACTGTTACTGTGGTAGATGTACTTGAAGCTGTTGTTGTAGATGTTGTGGTTGAGCTTTTGGGCGTTGTTCTGGTTGTAGGATCACTGTCTGTGCTTGTTGCAATAGTTGTTGATATAGGCGTTATTGCACTGGCTGTAGGTTCACTGTCTGTGGTTGTTGCAATAGCTGTTGATATAGGCGTTGATGCACTTGTTGCAATAGTTGTTGATATAGGCGTTAATGCACTGGTTGTAGGTTCACTGTCTGTGGTTGTTCCAATAGTTGTTGATATAGGCGTTAATGCACTGGCTGTAGGTTCATTGGCTGTGGTTGTTAAAATAGCTGTTGATATAGGCGTTGATGCACTGGTTGTAGGTTCACTGGTTGCGGTTGTTGCAATAGTAGTAGTTGTACTGGTTGAAGGTTCACTGGTTGTAGTTGTTGCAATAGTAGTAGTCGTACTGGTTGTAGGTTCACTGGTTGTGGTTGTTGCAATGGTAGTAGTTGTAGTCGTTGTCGTACTGGTTGTGGGTTCATTGGTTGTGGCTGTTGCAATGTTAGTTGTTTTAGGCGTTGTTGTACTGGTTGCATGTTCACTGGTTGTGGTTGTTGTACTGTTTCTAGGTCCAATGGTTGTTGTTGGTATAGTTGAAGTTTCCAAACTTTTACCTACAAAATTCAATGGAAAAAAATATGATTTCATTTCAGTGCCTTGGTATTTTCGTCAAGTGGTCCCTGCATTTGTTTCAATCATTTAAGTGTGGGAGATAAGATTTGCGCAGAGTGCACGCCTAACTAAAATGTCACTGTGGTAACTGTTTTTTTTTTAAATGCCCCTTGGTCAGAAATACCCATTTACGTTACCTTATTCTCGGACTATTACGTCATATTTACCTGAACATATTACTCCGGCATCATTAGCATGATTACACAATGGCAGTGTATAATCAGAGTGTTTACAGTCAGTTAATTTCGATTCTGTACCATTGCACTTCAGGTAAGTTAGCCATATTGGGCCTTGACCAATTCCTAGGCCACCCATCTGAACAGCTTTACCAGTTCTATAACCTAGCTGACGACAAATAACACCCGCTTCCACATCACTGAAGTAATAACCACATATTGTCCCCCATTCATTTGGTCCTTGCATATAAACTTCCACACGTCCATAATTATCACCACCAAGTAGTCGTAAATCAGATATTTCTGGAATGAACACAATAAATTCCGACCATAAAAAAATACCACCATAAATCTCGTCCTCCTCTTTTGTAGACAAAATACAATTCATTCATGAATATCACTACATGGCGTAATATGGGAAATTCAGTCAGGGAGCTGACCTACTTTCACATCATGGAGTGCCTAGTGTCATTGAGACCCACACCTCCTTTAACAATCCTTTACCATCATTTACCTCCACCTAATCATTTATAGAAACACCACTGAAGGGTTTAGATAAATATATCCGTTCGAAACGATGAAAAAGAATTACCTAGAGATTGATTATAACATTTAAGTTGCAGAGTAAAATCACATTTAGATGACCTATTAAAGCCTAAAGATAAGCAATTAGTAGGTGTTGATTCATCACCATTACATATTAGATAGGAAAACCATGTTGGACTTGTAGCTGAAACACTGAATTTAGAAAATGGGGATGGTGAAATAGGTGTATTAATCCATTGTCTGTTACAACCCATATTAAATGTTATAAGTGTGATAAATTTGGGGTAGGGGCCTAATTACTCATTTACCACAATAGTGGTTGTTACCTCAAAAGATGTTGTAAGCCAAAACAAAATCAAACGGTGAACACTCTTTTCAGAGGATCTCAAAATCCAAGATGCATTGATTGTATTTTTATTCTAAAAAGCACAGTAGGTTATATAACTTGAAAACAATTAATTCCATTAAGACACAAACATCTGTCGGTAAACTAGACGCTCTTTCTGAATTTAAATACGGTTTATAACAAATCGTGAATAAAAGTTATTAGAGACGAGCACTCTCCGAAGGAATACATTGGTTATACGAAAGGGTATGACTGTCATGCATAGTTGGCTATACCTGTCAAAGTCATTACAGTGAAGCTCACATTCAATATTATAAGCTTTAAGCACTGGAGTTTAAGCATTGGCTGGAAACTTTATTTGAGAATTGATACTTACATAGAACTCTGGCCAAACACTGCAATACCATCTCTATAACCAAACTCGCGACATAATACCTTACTAATTGAATTACTAAGACTGCTATATCTATTGGTACATATATTACCCCATTCACCCTCGTATTGCATCTGAACATAACCTTCTCCTGGTCGATCTCCGCCTGTTAATCTATAGTTGACCCCTAAAACAACAGGAATTAGTAAGTAGAATTATTGAATGATTTAGTCCAAGTAAATTTTGTCATATCATTAAAGATGTTGAAAGCAACAGAAAAGTCCCCGGATATTTGCCATTAGATCTAAATCTACAATAGTAAGCTATGGAAACATGAACAAAGAACAAGAACCTCTGTACACTTTTGCATGCAAAGAGTGTTTCAAGAGAAACAAATCCGTATCGAAAAATTCTAAAGTTCATAAAACCAAAACAAAACGATGGGTTCTTGTGCGTTCACGGACATATGTTAACGGCCTAAAATTTCGTAGATGTCGACAATATATGGGACGTATATAAAAAGCTAAACAAGAAATGTTCATGGAACAGAATAAACTTGATGTTGTCTGCCATGTTGTGCCAAAGCCTTAGAAATGATTGCAGGCATTCTCGTTAATCGTACAATGAAGAGTATCTCGAAGTTATCATTACCTGATGAGTTGTAACAGAGTACACCAGCACGTTTAGAATAGTAATTACAAATATATTTGGATGATGTTATATTATACTGACAGTCAGCTAGGGTATTCTCGTCACCAGAGCAAGATACGTCCGCCATCACAATCGGTTTTTTTTTAAGGTTTCCAAATGGTAAATACGGGACACCTCCAAAAAAGCCGAGTTGTCTGCAAGCAACTGTTGCTTCATTTTTACCAAATCCTTCAGAACAGACCATTCCTTCAACTCCTGACGGAAGGATCACTTTCAAATAACCTGATAATGTCGATCTGTAAGCACTGTCTAATGATATAGTCAAGGTTGCTGCAAAAACAATATCATGTTTGTTTAATGACAAGAACAAAATAGGCAAGTATCCTTTTTCAAACCGACAAATCAATGAGATAGACATGAATTACCAGACTGGATCATTCAAGATGCTATACTGAATAGCAAGACCATTGGTTCAGGTGAGCACATTCTGTCGATAATGCGAGGCTGCAGAGACTGTCATTTGCTTGAATAACATGTGAAAAGCTTCATTTTTTAAATACATATAAAGGTATCATTTAAAGTTTAATCCTCGTTCAACCGCTATAAGGATATAAAGTCAACGAGAAAACACAAGATTTGTTTTAATTTTATGATGCAAAAAAAAAGCAATATGTATTGTGTTTCCAACCAGGTTATGTCCCCTCAGATAAAACAAAACTTACTTGTATTAGGTTTTGTTTCAAAGCATTGAACAGATGCATAGCGATCTGATTTACAAACAGAAGACACAATGGGACAGTCTGTATACAATGTTTCAGTACCCGAACATCTTCTAGTACTGTTCGCTACGTCATCTATAATACCAGTAATTGAACCTAGTATCGGTATTCCTCTAATATAACGACTAGATACACCCTTACATACAACACTGGCCTCAACATCACCAAATATATCATCACATACTGCAGACCATATCTCCTTTGAACCATCATAAATCCACACAGCACCACCATTCGACAAATATACTAAAATAATTTTGGAAATAAATTATTCACCTTCGATCTCTATTGTAAATGTTTCTTATAATGAAGTTGTTCATTTATAAACAGACATATTTGCTATCTGTTACTATACTTTTCTCGTCATCCGTTTCGGAGAGTCCACATGGCTAACATATATTTGGAATGTTAATTTCTTACTTCTAATCAAGCTTACCTGAATTAAAACATTCTACAAACGTTGGTTCACAAGGATGACTAATAATGGTTTGGTGAAATCCAGAATGGCTACAGTCTAAAAGATTCTTTGCCTTGTCAGAACACTTGAAATCAATCTTCCAATTAATTGGACCAGATATGTTCTGGTAACGTTTCTTCCAACCACCATCAAAACCTAATTGCCTTATATAAAAAAACAAAATTTCATATCTTATCGAGCTAGTCAGTTAGACATCTTTGTAATGAAACTATACCAGAAAATGGTAACCATTTACTCCTTTATTTCGAACAATATCTAACAGTATAAAGGATGTGCTAGGATGGACAAATAACTATCAGAGTTAAGGTTGACATTCTAACTACCAGAGCCTTGATAAACAGATACTCTACTTTTGTTTAGATTTCCGACTTCCGACCTCATAGAAAAGATACTGTTCCTTGCAGCCTCTCCGACATACATCCGTGTAAATGGGTTGAAAATCAGAATGTATCTTCTCGTCCTATGATTACAAATATAATAGTTAATAAGACACTTTTTACCTGCAAATTACATTAGCCGCCTTAGAGTCGATAAGATCTTGACAAAGGCCACCAACAACACCATCAATAGTTAAATAGATCTGACTACTGGTTCTCTTATCAACTGTCCGATTGACAAACCGGAAACTAACATCTGTAACAGAAGTGAAGAGAAATATTTCAAGAGGTAATCTGTATTCGCCATCAATCAGAAATATTCATTTTCAAATATCAAAGTGGGTGTTAATAAATTTTGATGCATTTGTTCTAAGCTGGCTGTGTCTAGGGGTGGTGTTGATTAGAGGTTGAAATTACACGGAGCAATTTTTGGTGGCTGTTCATTAAATGATGCTGAATACAAATGGCCGTTGGTACAAGTTTGACATTTACAATACTCACCAAAGTCTCCATTATGACAGACAACAGATGCCCCACTGTTTGATTCACATTTCTCCATGGTAAGTCTATCTTTATGGATACACTGATTCAAGTCTGACTCTGTACCAGCACATTCAAATTTACCAATCCAAAATGGTTGATCTTTGTCAAATTTCGGGTGATTTTTATAGGCGATTCCTGCTGAATAACCTTGAGAACGACAATAAACAACAGCATCCTCGTCGTCCCAATCATCAGCACATATTTTACCCTGCACTCCAAATATAGAAACGCCAACCGTTCCTGATGAATTGAACACGTTCGATTGTCTCTCTATGCTGAAAACATAGTCGCTTTCCAGATCTAGAAGTAGATAAAATAATAGATATAACCTTTTTATTTCATTAATTCCATTAATGTGATTCCTCCAACTATGCTCATACCAGTTATGTTTTCGTTAAATTTGATTGTAGCGAACATTCACAACTTGCAATCTGATTCCCTTGGTGAAGTGTTAGTCAATATATCAAAGGTGAAAAGGTGAATCTGTTGAGGTTTTTGACTTCTGTTAAACTTTCAAATGATAAATTCAGGTGTCAACTTACATTCGTCATCAATATCAGTTTCATTGAAGCAGACAACAGAGGCATACTGTCCTGAACGACAGGAACTGATTGATAAACAACCACTTGCAGACGTTTCAGACCCATTACAATTCAGGGTCATATTTGATACTTCTAATCTTGGTTCGTAATCCCAGCCAAAGGTTGATCCATGGATTGCCTTTCCATCAGCAAATCCTAAATCTGAACAGACTCTCTCAGCAGCAGCATCATCAAAACCATTATCACAAACCAAATACCATTGGTCCTGGTAGTAGATCTCCACTGGTCCTGAACTTGTTCGGGTTGTATGCTGTCCATCCTCGTGCAATCGTACTGTTAGAAAAGTTTTTATACAATAATTTTAGACTTCTTCCATAAACCAGCCCTATGCTTACATCATGCTTTTACTGTGGATGTCATTTACCTTCGAAAATGAGTAGGTTTGCTTATCTAGATACATCCTCTTGAATTTTCATGAAATACCGTTACATAGAGAACAAATTCCACACTAGATACAAGAATCACAAGATCAAACACATCGCGTGGGTTTTTAATTTGACAAAACTACTCTTGGAAAACATTTGTTAAAATGATTTTAAGGTTTGGTTTGGAAAATACAAACAAAAGAACTCTTACCGTCATTTAAACAATGTACAGAGGCGTAATATGCACATCGGTAACTTGTGCTCCAGCTAGAATGAGTACAGTCTGTAATATCAGCTTCATGTCCATTACAAATAAATCTAGTGTTATACACTGGGCCAGTAATGTTATAGCCTTGTCCTTCTACTCTAGATCCATAGTGACCCGATGTATAGCCTATCGACTTGCAGAACACATTATAAGCTTCCTCGTTTCCAATACTATTACAGAACACACTCCATGTTCCGTCAATAGATATCTGGACTAACCCTATACCATTCTCACCCAACAATCCAGAGAAGATACCTAAAATAAATTATGCGTTATCAAGGTATCTTTCTATCATGATAACAGTAGTTGCCAAATGGACAAATGAAAGAAATAGCAGAATTGCTGTTTCTATCGTTATTTCGTTACTATCACCAGGAATGATATCTGTAAATCTGAAGTTCGAATAGAAAGTCCGGAATGATATCATGTTTGCCTTGGTAGAATTTCAAAATATTTGTTATAGCATCGGAGCAACCAGCCTGAATGATTGTATAGTGAGACTCGTTTTTTAGTGAAAAGAAAATTATAAAATACTAATAATGATAATAACATAATGTTACTAATAAACCATGAGGTGTGGGATGTGGGCGTATATTTAATTGCTAACAAGTACCTGTTTGAGAAGAACATGCAGTTCCTGCAACTTTGTCAGATGAACAATGAGTTATGTCCCCTATATCATAATCACATTCATCTAGTCTGGATTCTGAGCCGTTACAATTTACATTTGACAACAAATACGGTCTCATTCCAGGGCTGAAAGATTAAAGAGATGTTCTGCTTTTTTGTAAAAAGTTTTCATTATCAAAAACGTCGTAAATTATACCTGTAAATATTTCTAAAGTATGCTATTTATATCTATGTATCTACGGAGTACTTATTGTTAGGCCTAATTAAGCAGTTTGACCTAGTTTTGGTGTTAGGCTTCATAATATCTCGATTATTAGTTAAAGCCTTTTAGAATACTTTTACAATCTACAATTAGACGTTTATTTTACTCAATAGCAAATAGTTCTCTAACTGCTTTCAAAAAGCATAACCAACTTAAAAACCTTACGTGATGTTCTTAAATATTTCGGGCGTTTAAAATGAACGGCTGGATTCTTTTGGTTAAAATTTTCAGATACATTAAAGGGTACATTTCTCTATATTTTAGTTTATAGTTTTCTCAAATTTGAGCGAAAAAATATTTCGACCTATAAAAAAGGCTTAATGTCCCTTTAATATCAAGATTGAACAGAATCGTGATAATGGTGAAGAATGACCATAGAACGGCGCACGGCATAGCACATTCAAAATGTTCCGTTAATGATGCTTAAATTTAAAAAGAATCGTCTTTTCAAACATTTGGGTAAAATGGATTGCTTTTTTGACTAAAGCGTTTAATGGTTTGGGGTTTCACAAACTCCTCAGTTTTCTTGCAAAGTTACTGAGCTTTAAGGACAAGTATGATGAAACAATATTAACCTTCGAAGACGTAACGCTTTACCAATGGTGAATCCAAATTGTTTACAAGCTACAGTTGCATCTACATCGTCCCAACTATCAAGGCATATATAGCCACGTACATTTTCATGGATAACAGCAAGACTGCCTATATAGTTTGACCGAAAACGTCCTGGGCTCAAAATAAAACCTAGAGTGGAAAAAACAATTATTACTCAAAATTACCAATCACAATTTTCATGCAGGTGTCATGTGTCATGTTTGCAATCCATTTTTGCAATAGTAAGTGAAATAATGTTTTCTTTAGGTAATTCAGCTTATGTTTTGCCATCGTATCACGAATACGGGTTTTGACATAGTCTTATTAAACCCCGAGGAAGTATGTCGAATGGGGGTGTGGTTTGCAAACGATGATGTATTGCATAGTGTAAATATAGAAAAAGCAATCTCAAATTACGCACGATGCAGCACCAAGATCTTATAAAATCAGAAAATTCATAGAAAAATAATGTTAACCAATAAGGATTCAATACAATTGTTTTACCTGTCGTCCTACTTCTATTGAAACATTTTACTCCAATTTGGTTATGACAAACAGGAATGAATGGTTTGGAATATGAACATTCTACTATATTGGATTCCTCGCCGGTACAGTTTACTCGATCCAATATAGCTAGGGAATTCCGTTGTATGTTACCAATCATAGCAAACCCATTGCTATAGCCCAATTCACGGCACACAACAACTAAAAAAAGAATCCAATAAAGAGTTGTGGATTCGGTGCAACTTCGTGCATCTAATAATCATGATAAGCGGATGTGCTGAGGGTTGTTGCATCCTTTTTTCATTGTAACTTGGAATAATCCATATGATGCAGAGAACATAATCTAAATAGAATTGCAAATTGCATAAAACCTAGTTGTCTTCCGAGTTGCTCACCTACCATAAAGACTGGTTGAACCAAGTCCACGGGTCCTCATTCCCAGAAAAAATGCAGAAGAGCCCTTTAGGACCCCAACACTTAAGTCCCACTTATCTAGTTGGGTCACTGTTTGTTGCCTTAGATGCTGTTATTGTTTATATATAAAACATTGCTTACGAGTATTTGTGTATGTCCATCCGTCTGAACAAATATGTCCAAATCTGCCATCAACATTTACATTAAGGTAACCAGGAGGATTGTTTCCGTTAGTTATTAGAACTGTAGAAATAATAATGATATTGTACTTTGTAATTTAAATACAATTTACGAGGAAATAGTCCTGCTTGGCAAATTTAGATAGATACTAAAATGACAAATTCAATAGTGCCGTTCCGTTGTATGTAATTTCAAAATCCAAACAATTGGTAATGCCTATTTTCGTGCCATATTTGGCTTCCGGTTGGTGAAGTTGGTTGATAGACAAGTTAACGTCGGCTTACTAACTGCTAAGTAGGACGGGATTTTATACTAAGCCTGAATAGTGTTGTATTTCACTTTGGTACAGAAAGATCATAATAGGATCATTGATTATTAAATTCATATAAAGTGTTTTAGAAATGTCTTTGTGGTATATAATATGGCTAAGTTGGAGATATTACAATGAATTACCATGTTTGAAACATTCTATTTTCGGTTGTCGACAGTAATACCCCTCCTTCTTTGTGACACATTGGAAAATTGACTCTTCATTTCCTGTGCATTTAAACTGATTATCGTTTCGAACGTAGGTATATGATCTGGTTTGCAAATAGCTATTTGGATATCCCAATTGCCTGAAGGAAATTTATTACTTTATGTTAACATGTTGTACATAATTTGTCTGAATTCGGTAAATGGAAATTTTATAAAGTCAAATGAAATTCCATTTTGAAATAATCTGAATTCCTCAAGTTTATTCTTATAACTTAGTTGAAATTCAAAAGCCTTTTAATTTTTTCAAGATTAATATAGCCACATAGTCCACCAAAACTGGCTTTAGCAACCAACACGCCACACTTTATTACCTGCAAAATACCTTCGTTCCCGGCTCATTCAAACAAATTGAACTTTGAATCCTATTTACTTGGATTTGTGGATAACCATTATCGTTAAAAAACACACGTGGTACTGAAAAAGATTGTTAGTGAATGCATTAGATTTAAATGGTTTTCATTCCAAAACGAGGCAGATTTGCTCGTATAATGTGAGAAATTACCATAACCTTCGAATGTTATTCAGATTTATACTAATTAAAATGGTAAAAATCTGTATTAATATAAATCTGTACAATCAAGACAATTCCGTTCATCAGAATCTCGTCCAATGTACGACAAAATCGAGAGTAAAAGTTGTATAGTAGCGGACTCCTCCAAAGAGAAGTACCATCAGGTGTATTAAATTATCAATGGATATAATAAGTATAAGCAAGCGAGAAGTCAACAAATAACAAATATTAGAACCAGCACTCTCAAATCAAACCTATATTCGACAAGAATACTTTTCTCCAGTGGAGCAGTTAAAATTATTGTGTATGTAATATTTATATATATCTTCCATTAGATTATTAAAATAAGTATTTGTACACTTACCACCATAACTATAGCATGAAGCACCAGCAATGACTTGATTGTTTGTGAGAGTTTCGGAACATCCTGTGGAATGTTGAGTTCGGGAGCATTCTGTGAGATTCGTCTCTATTCCTCTGCATTTGATATTACCCAATAAAACAGGGTTCAACATTTCATTCGACATGAATCTTGCGATCCCTGTAAAATGGTAATCACGGATTTCATTACTGACAGTGGTACACTATTTACTCTTGAAAACTTTTACGTTTGTTTTTAGCTAAAGAAGTGCTTTATTGTATGTCTCGATATCTAGAACTACAATGTATACATTCCGAATGGAATGCAGGTCTTGATGGTCGTGCTCGTGTTTTTTTTTTGTATGCGACTTCTAGGAATATGCAGTCAATCAAATTCTCTGTACAATAAAAGATCCCTTTAGAATATTTGAAGCATTTTCGGATATAAATATATAACATGTACATTTATTGTCTTTTAATGCTTTTGATTTGTTAACATAAAGTATGGTTCAAAATGCCTAGTTTATGATTTAAAGAAACTTGTCAGATCATGGATGGCATGTGTACTTAGCTTCAGAAAAAAGCACGAAACGAAACATCCAGATCTGTAGATATAATACAGGAAGTAAGTAAGTTGTCTATACCTCCATTGTAACCAGCATGTTTACAAGATACATTCGCTTCTTTGTCAGTCCAGTTTTGAGCACATATTGCGGATTGGATTTCAGCTACAGTCACCATAACTCTGTTTTGACTCACAGTCAATGTTACAATGTCTAAAATGAGAAAAACAAACCAAGCTCTCAGTTTTGCTTCAACAGCACTGGCGTATTTAGGGGAACGGCCTTGAAAGGTCTTATTTTGAAAAAAATATTTGGAAATTGATCTCGAGCCATCTTAAATCCATTGGCATCGGTGGCTTCTGGCAGTAAAGTATGTATATATGATGAATTAGGATATTGTCACTAGTTTCATCATTTGTTTTTTTTTTTTTTTGGTAATGATTTGAACTATTATTCACAGGTAACTTACCAGAATTTGAAAACGATGATTTAGAACAATAAACAGTGACGTATTTTCCTGATGAACAGCCTGTATTGACGTAACATGTGTCTGACAAAGATCCTGGTATATCTCGACATCTACTGAGGCTCACCATTGACCTACTATCGCCTTCTCCTAAACTTGAACAACAAACATAACTTCCCATTTCATATCCCATATCTTTACAAGCCATTTTTGCCATAAGATCTGTAAATCCCGCGTCGCAAACTGGTTTCCATTCATCTATGAATATTTCAAGTTTCCCGTAATTTATATATGTGCTAGTAGATCCAGTCATACGAACTGAAATTGACATAAAAGTTATACAGTTATATTGTATTAAATAAAATAAAATGTAAAAGTCGCCATTATCCCAATTCACTTACACAATGGTGCGTATGCCATTTGATCTATCAGCCTAACATTGGACTACAAACACATGTATGCAAACATGCAAAAAGATCCATCGTAATTGGATGGCGTATACTTGTGTTTCACAAGCATTCAAACCACAGTACATACAATTATTTTGAGGACGTCTCAAGCCTATAAAGTCTCCAGATCCAACAGCTATGTGCCTACCTATACCCAAATTATGATGGAATCACTTACCATAATTGTAACAGCGAACAGCTGCATCGACACTGTGGTAACAACCACTCCTTGACTCAGATATTTTTAGACCACAATCAAGAACCGATTGTTCATCGCCCGTACATTTCATTTGACTAATGTGGATGGGGCCAGAACCTCTACCAAAAGCATTAACTGTGACATAACCACCTTCAAGCAATAAAAAATAATTTAAGAAAACAAACATATGCATTTCAGTTTTAAATTCTACTCTTCGGCACCCATTTTGAGAAATTGGCATTATGAAAGAACGTTTTACCACACGACAAAAATTTATTTCTTAGATATAAGAAAGATGTCGTAGTATATCAGCAAATATCAAGAGTAAGTTAAAAATTATTCACCTTTAAAATTTAACATACGGCAGACGACACTGGCTTCACGATCAGTAAAATCTTTCCCACATACAGTCCCCCATACACCAGCAGCTGATACTCCAATTCTACCACTTTTGCTGTCTCCACCTTCCAATCTTATACGAACATTTGAAGCTAGAGTAAAATAGAGCAATAGTATTTTGTATGCCCTGTTAAAATGTTTTACCTTTTGCAGACCTAAGAGATTCGATCCGCTGATATTCATTATGAAAAACAGCAATTACGTTTTTTTCGATGCCAATGTTTTCTAATGAATGTCATACAGTTTGGCAAATTGTGTAACAGGTGAATTTCAGGTTTGGACACTGTTCCAAATACGATTTTCACCGTATTAAGCGCGATCAATAAACTGCCAGTAAGCATTCGTCCATACAATTTTTTTTATCAAAGTCAGCTCTTTTCAGTGGCAACCTCTGGGCAAGACCAATGGCCATCCATTGTTACATCTTGCAATCACATACAACTTTACTCAACACTTGAGTTTACTGATACTTGAGAATCATAAGTTTAATGAAACATTTTGGATTGACAAACTCATTTCAGAGATTAATTAGGATGATCATATATTTTTTACCTGTTATAGAAAGACTAATTCATAACCTACCTGATCTGCTGAGGCAGTAAACGGCGGAAACAGTATCAGTAGAACAGTTATGTATATCACCCCACGGACTATGATGACATTGACTAATGGCCGACTCATTCCCGGTACAATTTAAATTGGTTAACCATTTAATACCAAGTTGGCTCATTTCCACCTCATTCTTTATCCTTTTATAAGCGAATCCTCCAGTATACTCACTCCCCAATACTTCTCTACATACCACTTTAGCATCATCATTCGACCATTTATTAGAACAAATGCCTCCATTTATATTAAAATGATTCACTATCACTTCTCCATATGAGGATGATTTGATTTTTAAGTTGTACCCTTTCATTTGAAAATAAACGAATATTATTATCATGTAATCTAATACAAAAGATCTTTGCTACACCATTTTAAAACAAATTCAGAATTCAAACGCAAACTTAACAGTCTTGGGGCAACCAGGCATCTCTCACGGCTTGCTCAGATTACACACTATCAGCAAAAGAATTTGATTTACCTGAATATGATGGATAATTTGAACACATCAGTTGAACGGCTCTGTTACTTCTACAATATTGCGTATCATACCGACACATTTCCAGGGAGGTTTCAGATCCGAAACACTAAAGACGAACAAAATATTAAAGCACAAATGAGTAATTGGATAATCGGATAAACAAATTTCACTTTCAATAACTCTTTTTTTGCAAGAAACTAACAACTCTTCTTTCGGTAATTATACGTTTGCTGGTGCGCCGAAATATTCAGCATCAGGAAAGTATTGCAAGTATTGACTCAACGTGCTGTTTTAAACATGGTCACGTTTTCGTACGATTTTGAATTAGAAACTTCATGAAATGTTGATTATCAACATTTTGTTTGCTTTCTAGAACAAGAACGTACCCGGAAATTATTATAAGCAATAATGAGGTTGGGTGGATTGAAGGGTTGGTAGTCGAGTATATAATGATATGAATAACCAAGTTGTCCACACGCTACTTTCGCAGCGTTCTCATCAAATCCATCTCTACAGATCGCACCGTTTCTTCTATTTACAGTAAACTTAGCTACTCCAACAGCATGCCCTGGCTCTAAATCAACTGTTAAAAATTGTAGAATAAAATAAGAAATTAAGAGTTTTTATTAGTGATTTCGAATTTTAACGAAAAGAGCAATTTTGATTAAAAAGTAGTTCATACTAATGTGGGGTGGCCAGGAAGGCCACGTCTTTAAAACGTCTAAAATATTGTGCATAACTATTTTTATATCTCTTATAAATGTTACAATTTTGATATAGTTAATGAATAATGCCTGTATCATCTAATGAACTAAGTAACTTTTATTTACCTGATGTCAAACATTTAACAAAAAGATCTTTATTGTATCGACCGCAAGGGTACGTTAGGTTGAAGTCTGACAGTTTGCATTTCCATATTTCAGTCGTCTCAATTCCACATCCACTGCTACCAAATATTTTTAACATCGGAAGTGTTATACCATAAGAACTTTCTGAGATATCTTCACCATTAACATAGCCAAGTTGGCGACAAGCAGTTATTGCCAGGTATCTATTAGTATAAGCCTGCTTACAGACAGGTCCCCATTGACCATGATACCCAACTTCCACTTGTCCAAGATTTCTACTTTCATTGCTTGGTTTTAATCGGATTGAAAAACCTAAAATGCGAGGACAAAGTCTGAGGTTTCCTGCTATACAATGATCCTATATTCCTAATCTGCATGACATTAAGGAAAAGCAATAAATATAATATTATCTATTACTTTATTGAACTTGAACTCCACTGAAACATTGCCGGTGTCGAAGCAGGGTAGCGACTGAATCTATCAACTCGGAATCTATTCCAAAGAATCCACAAAGCTAATAATGATTAAATTACATATGCAGAACAGTATAAGGCATAATATCTATTACTCATTTGATCGTTGTGATGTAATTTGGAATGACAATCAAACATATTTACCTCCAGGTTCGTCAGAACAGAGAGCATTGGCCAACATCATTGATGATTGACAGGATGTAAGGTTCGATATAGAATAACTACAGTCTTGTAATCTACTTTCTTCACCAGTACATCTGAAATCTTTTGCTAAAGTTCGAATAGAGGGGGAGCTCAATGATCCAACAGAAACACCATATAAATAACCTTGTGATTTACAGAAAACTTTAGCTGCAGTATCAGTCCAGCCTTCTGAACATATTGTACCAGTTAATCCATACATTTCAATTGTAATTTTCGAATAAAAAGAGCCCTTTTCTGGAGAAGTTGATGAGTGAATTTCGAAATCTGTAGAGAAAAAAAATGTTATTTGATGTCAACGTAAAGTAGTCCGAATATTTTAACATCTGATCACCCAAGTCCGAAAAAGAAATGTGACATTGCAACAAATTTACAAAAAATAAATATAGTTTTTGTTAAGAATAAGGTGGGATAGAATAGACATTTCTTTTGGACAAACAGCTTAATAGATGAATTTGTAACATGTTTTCATTGCAGGAACATAAAATTGACATTATGAAATCTACAAACGCTGTCGAATGGTTATAGAACAAACACTGAGACTCGAAATATGTCTACATTTGATGTAGCCATAACCACCATTGGCGGCTCCGAGGGGGGAATTTTAAAAATGTGATAATATTGAACGAATGCTCTCTAGACCCTCCAAGCATGGATTGGGAAAAAGTTGTAAAGCAGCCACTGATAACCACGCCTATCAACCTTAGTACTTACCATCTAATTTGGATGTTTTACTACAAAATAAAGAGCTAGTTCCGTAACAATATTGTTTTGTAAAAGTACAGTCCAATATGGATGTTTCATTCCCAACACAGACAATATTCTTCATACCGTGTATATTTCTTCCACTTTTAAATAAATTATCAGATAATACCTGCAATCAATGGCAAAATTTGCGAGTCCTTTTCTGAAAATATTTAACCAATTTTGTTCATGTTCTTTTTGGTAACTCTGGACTATAGAATGTTATGCTAAGCATACAGATTGTCAACAATTTAATCAAAGCAATCCTGCCTAGATTATCTATTTCACTTTCAATTTTCTGGTCAAAAGATGACCTCGACTCCCGAACTCATGTTAAAAATTCTAAAAAATTCTAAGAGATGCATATTTTCAAATAAATAGCCCTTGTCCGAATTTAACTTTTGGACTCGCTGTAAAGTCTATGAAAAATGTGTGAACTATGTTTACCTTGAAATATGGTGCACGTAATTCTCTACAGATAACTCTTGCTGCATTATCATCTAATCCCGGACATATCGGGTTCCAGTGCAGACCTGCGTACAGCATTTCAACATAACCAGAAGAAAACGACCCCATCGACGTACTTCGTCTTATCCTTGCTGTAAGTTGAGATAAAAAATATTTTAGTGTTTTGAAATTATACATGTTGATCCACTATAGATATAAACACCTTTGAAATTCCTGAACAAGTTACGTCCGATGAGTTATATTTGTTGGTACGTATATTACATTTATACTTATCATTCTTGCAGAATTGAAACATATCACGAAATGCAAGCAAATATATCGGTACATTGACATCCTATGTGATTGCATTATGGCTTCTGAATCTCAAACTGAATCTTACCGCTATTATAGCAGGTTAAAGCCTTGTTATTTGAAGGACACCGAGCTTCTTCATTTACTCTCCATCCATCATTTGAACATTCAAAAATGGAACGTTCGTATCCTGTACACGTTACACTATTCATAAATATTGGTGTTGTTTCTTCTTGGTCGTTACTACAAGATAAATATCTTTACTCGATGCAGTTAATCCCAATGATTAGTGAAACTAAACCAATACATATAGTCCTTACCGTTAAACGGGTTACTGTTTCAAAAATAAATTTACCTACTTAAAAAATTCTCCAGCTTCGAAATTCATCTGACGACATATGACTCTGGCCTGTGTGGTGGACTGGGAACCAGAATTAGACGTTAAACAGACACCACCAACATCCAAACCATCAACAACTTCTACTTTACCGCTTCCACCATTTATAAATCTTACAACAGGGACTAGATATGGAGAAAAAAATACAATATAGCGTTTTAGATTTCACGTGTAACGGACAGATCCGGGAAACACGAAATATGGTTTTGTTTTTTTTTTACCTGCCCTAAAAAAGTAACAATCTTTTTGTATGATTTTTGTATAATCGTGAGAAACGAGGTAATACGGATTTGATATAATCTTAAGGGAGATTCGAACCCACATCACCTCGCTTAGTGGACAACGAGGCTTTCTTTATTTATATAATTCTAAAACACGTTTGTCCAAAGAACCAATTCAACATCGTTGATGGAAGCCATGGCATCTCTGTTGATGTATTTAACATTGCAATGTAATATTTGTAGATTAATTAGAATTGAACTAACCAGTATTATTGTAGCAAAACACACCAGCTTGATGAGCGCTTCCCAGACATGATGAAGATCCCACAGGGCAATCTAATATAGTAGTTTCATTCCCTATGCACTTCAACTCTTGAATGGTATACTTGTTAACAGTTGTTGGATATCTATAGGCCATTCCGTTAGTGTGTCCTAATTGACGACAAACGATTTTTACAGCGTTCTCAGTGAAAAAATCTGAACATATACCCCCAGTAAAACCATCCAATGATACAGATACTAAGCCAGTATTTGGATGGCTTGGGTTACCTTTCAGCTCTAATTTCCTCTCTGTAATTGAAATAGTACAAAACATTAATATATATTTTTGAAGATTGTCTGATAGCAGGGTTCAATATATATTGACAAAATTCATTAACATCACCAAATTTTAGTTTTGGCTAATCATAGAAAATATTACATCACATAAAGGCTATTTTGACTGAAAAACTGAGATGCTACTTAAATGGAATTGGGTTACATGGAATGAAGAACAGACTGGGAAAGGTAAGAGAGAAACAATTTGATTGGTAGACAGGGTGTATGTAGAAAAAAATGATGTAAGGAGTACTGCAAAGAAAATGGCGAACAAAGATAGATTTAGAAACAAGATAGCCGAAGAGGCCGATGGAATAGAGTGTAATAGGAGACAAAGTATCAAAGTAAATTGGTAGGCGAGCATGGCGAATTGAGAATTATTGAAGATTGGGGGGAAAGTAGAGAGGGAGATTAAATTGAAAGTATCTAAGAATAATATCTCGGAAGAAGAGGCGAGGTATAACACAGAGATAGGTGAGTATATGGATCAAGTAAAATGTAAAGAGGAGTTGTATTAGAAGATAGGGTTAGACGATAACGGAGAGACAAGAAGAAATAGGGGGTAATTATGAAGTGAGGGCAGGATATCGTGGAGGGAGAGGACCGAGTTTTGATACAAGACAGGGGGTATTTGGGGGGGATCTCTATTATATTGAGAGATACTCTTTGTACCTCCGTGCAATGCTTCGAATTACAGTTCTCCGAAGACTTATTATGGATCTTCCATGTTTCTAGTGGATTTATTTACACAACAGCCTTTGACTTAAATTCGATGTAAAATAATTTCATAAGTTTCCTCAGTGGTCAATCACAATTATAGAGAATTACTTCCCTTGAAATTAAACATATATAAAACGTAACTATTTGAATTGGAAATTTTGATTCATATTTAATCAAAAATCTGTAGTGATTCAAAATTTTTATATAATAGACTCCAGATCAATTTCGACAGTGACTTCTAGAATAATATAAAATAATCGTAGTGGACTTTATGATTCAATGGATCTAGACGAAACGGCCTATAGTCATAGTATAAACAAAATTGGTTAATTATTCCAGAGAAGAGTATTAATACGTACCAATGTTCAGAGATCCATCGAAACAGTATACAGCTGCGTACTTTTTATAAAAACCTTCACAGGATGTAGAGCTCGTGGTACATTGGGATAGTGTGGTTTCGTTTCCATTACAGTCAAAGACTAGCGAAGAGTATCGGATGTGTCCTGGAGCCGCACCAAATGTTCCAGAAGGTAATACTTTACCATCGGTAAAGCTTAGTTCTCGACAGAGCACCTTGGCAGCATTATTAGTAAATCTATTACCACAAACAATTTTCCAGCTGTACCCTGTCTTCTGTTCATAAACTATACCATTTGAATGTTCTCCACCTTCTATCTTTACTAAAAGCAAAGTTATCTTTGTTAAGTTGGTTTCCCCTGAAGACTGACTGAAAGCTGAATGGTGCAAATTGATGTTAACAGTGTCTTTTTTTATAAAACCTCTTTTCAATCCTTTTAACATGTAATGGGGCGCTGGAAAGCACAAAGACTGTCAAGAATGGCGTATGATGCGTTGTATACATTCTTTTAACTTACCTTGTCCATGACACTTTACAGCCAGATCAAAAGAATGTGTTTGACAATTACTATTAGGTGTCTTCAAATCAGAATCATATCTACAATCCCATACTGAATCCTTGACACAATTTACACTCTCCAAATAGACAGGGCCGTCTCCAGCACCAAAATAACCAGCGACTAATTCTGTTCCTTGACCAAAACCTAACTGTCGACAAACTACTGATGCCATATCTGATCCATGATATCTATTGGTACATATGGTACCAGGTACACCATCTATGGACAGCTGTACGCGACCGTAGGATCTTGATCCGTTTACTAACGACAATTTAATTTTCTCTGAATCAAATAACAAAAGTAATGGATTATGATCAAGACATCCTTACAACGTCAAGTTAAGTACTTCGTTACGTGTGCTTAAAGGAACAGTCAGATTTTTATGAAAATTTTCATTATTAAAAACGCTGAAACAATTATAGTTTATTGTACTATATTTATGAGAGTTTCTAGATTTTAGCAAACAAATGTTAAATTGTTGTTCAAACCTACCTCTATAACATATGACATTCGCTTCGTAATACGATCTACCCCATTGCGTTACACATTCATCTAACGAATTCTCCGACCCATTACAATTCAGTTTCTGAATCCAAAACATCTGTTTTGAACTGCTAATATCATCTGTAACACAAAACATTCTCAAACAATCTTATCCCACCGTTTTTGTTAGCAATATTATATTATGGGCAATTATAAATTCGTATAAATGATAATGGTTTGATAATAAAATCTTAGTTTAACATATTTGTTCCAGTTTCCCTTCAATATCTGTAAAGACCTTTATAATTAATATAACAGATACCTAATAGTGTACAGGCCTTTATTATCAATATAACATATAGCTAGTATTGTACAGACCTGTATAATCATTATAACAGATAGCTAGTAGTGTACAGACCTTTATAATTAATATAACACATAGCTAATAGTGTACAGACCTTTATTATCAATATAACATATAGCTAGTATTGTACAGACCTGTATAATCATTATAACAGATAGCTAGTAGTGTACAGACCTTTATAATTAATATAACACATAGCTAATAGTGTACAGGCCTTTATTATCAATATAACATATAGCTAGTATTGTACAGACCTGTATAATCATTATAACAGATAGCTAGTAGTGTGCAGACCTTTATAATTAATATAACACATAGCTAATAGTGTACAGACCTTTATTATCAATATAACATATAGCTAGTAGTGTACAGGCCTTTATAATTAATATAACACATAGCTAATAGTGTACAGACCTATATGATTAATATAACACATAGATAGTAGTGTACAGGCCTTTATTATCAATATAACATATAGCTAGTAGTGTGCAGGCCTTTATAATTAATATAACACATAGCTAATAGTGTACAGACCTATATGATTAATATAACACATAGATAGTAGTGTACAGGCCTTTATTATCAATATAACATATAGCTAGTAGTGTGCAGACCTTTATAATTAATATAACACATAGCTAATAGTGTACAGACCTATATGATTAATATAACACATAGCTAATAGTGTACAGAACTTTATAATTAATATAACACATAGATAGTAGTGTACAGACCTTTATAATACGTAACGCCACCAGCATAACCCATCTGTCGACAAGAAACATTAGCAGCTGATTCGTTCCAACCAAAATGACTATTACCAGATACTAAACCCCAATACCCATATCTTCTTACTTCTAGTGAACCAAAACTGCCTGTTGTGTTTACCAGACGAACGCCGAAAGCTACAACAAATAATGTATTTGTAAACACAAAATACGCCACGAATAAAGTAGTAAGAATGTTAATAAATAATGTCGACCAAAAAGGAATGAGGTATGTGTAGTTTACCGACAAATCTGATCACTACATACTAGCCCGTTTTGAAATTTGATCCTATGCGTTCCTCGGGTGTGATTGGATGCGAAAGAAAGAAATGCATGTTATGGAAGGGTAAGGAGAAAGAATGGTATTGTAGGTGCTTAATATGGGTTTGTGGGTTTCAATCGTTCATAGCTATTCCGTGGATAACAGTGTCAGATTTTAAAAAAGCTGATATTGAGCGGAAGGGACATCGCCATCATGTGACGATGAGATATTTCTTATGATAGCTTCAACTTTTTCTAATTAACTGTTAACACTGCAGGGTATATTTCATTTATGATCATTTATTGATATGTATTATAATTCATATACCGCTATACTTACTGTCATTAACATTAGAGATAGTGGTGTTATAACATATTACTGAGGCGAGATGTCCAATTCCACAGCTCGTATAAGCAGAAACTGAATATGTACAGTTGAACAGGTCATCGACAGCTCCAGAGCAGTTGAAGTTTTTGTAGAATTTATAAGGCCGCGATATCGACGGGTTGCTATACACATATGAAAACGGTGAGCAGCACAGAGCTGTTCCATCATCGAATCCTAAACTTCTACAGGCTACAGCCGCTGCCTCATCATTCCATCCATCATCACAAACCAGTCCCCATCCATTGTCCCACAGCACAATGGCTCCAGTGTTGTGGTTACCATACGATTGTAAATTTCTATCATTTAAAATCTTTACTGGAATTTGAATTACAAGTATAATGTAAGTTGGAAAGATTGGCGTTTGGTTCAAATATTATTCATGACTGAGAGACTGCATGTCATTTTTAATAGTCGCTTATCGATAATAAATCTTTATTATACATATGATTCTCCCCAGTGGAGCTGAACTTTTAACCTTCTCAATTTTAGTGCAGCAATCAGGCAGTCATAGGTATAGGTCCTGCAGCTTTGGGCAATCTTGCTGGTATTTTTGGACAATAGCATACAATACAGCTGAAGTGTACAAAGTTGTGCAAACAGAATATCTAGTGGATATTTTGAGTTTTGACTGATACAGGAAGAACGACAACTAAGACAAGAAAAACAACCTGAACTGTTAAAACAATTGACACCAACATCAATGTAATGCTTGTAGTTATATCGAGTACCACTAACCCAGGAAATTGTGCAATCAAAAAAGTTGGTTGATGTTCCACAAGTCAGTTGAGTGATCTGTACATTCACAGTACCTCTTCCATAGTACGCGTTTCTTTTGGCCTTCATGAGAGAAAAAATATTGGATAAATTCTTATATATGGCAAATTACATATTTTAAGTTTTGGTACTTCAACTGAATTCCATGTTGTCGTTCATAATATAGATTGAAAATGAATTTTTGGGGGCATCAATGTGGGAAAAGGAAATTTTAGCTGTATTTGCAAATATCCCAAAAATTAGAAGTTGTTTTTCCTCAGGTAAAACAAAATACCTACCTGGCCATATTCATATCCTAATATTTTACAAACTAACTCTGCCTCCTTATTTCCAAAAGAACTTGAATACACGGCTACGGTTCCCCAAGGCAGAGAGCTATTTCTTCTAACTTCCACTCGTCCCGACGATATTCCATCTCCTCGACCATTTCCTGCTACCAGTCTGATCTCTTCCTTGGCTAAAATGAGATCACCATTTTTATGTTAATAAAGCTGAAAAACACAAACAGCTTGTGACTTGTAATTTTGCTTAATGTAGATTTGAGAGCACTCAACTGATACCCTTAATACAATCCCATTAAAGATGGGTCTCTACATTTTTAGATTCTTATATATGGTTGAATAATTAACATTCAATAACTGAATATTTAAACAAATTAACGTAAATGAAGGAAATAAACTTAAAACTTATCAGCCTAGCGAAATTTGGTCATCAATTAAAGAAATGTAGTCTTCAGAAAGTACTATAAATGTACGAAAATCGCACAATTCCTTCAAAAATTACGGAGCGAATTTTCGAAAAATTTTAGCGAAATAATTATTTTGTTTAATCGAATAACTTATTTCGTTTAAACGAATTAATTATTTCGTTTAAACGTATTAGAGACTCCGTAAAAAATACCTCGAACTAGGAATTTCACTTTCTATTTCTATATATATGTCATTTCTTTTAACTTTCAAATATAATATTCAGGACATACACGGATTTGAAGGCTCAAATTTCGATGTTGAGCAATTTGAGTCATTTGGTACGTAAGCGAAGTGTTTCAACTTAAATTGTGTTCTTGTTCCTTGGCTTGAGTGCATTATATATGTATGTCAAATATTAAATAAAGTAGAAATGCTTGTAATTATCTCACTTTGTAAAGACTTTGTAGCATATTTGGTGGAGTTTCTTAAATATCGACGAATTATATATGTTTTCAATTCTATCGGAGAACAAAAGTTTAAATAATGTTGTCTCTAGGCTTACCTGACACAGTATAAATAATTGCAATTAAAACTATAATAAATAAAATCCTAATATTAGGAAATTGTGCATCCATATTGAGGTGACTCGCTGATAATAACCTCAGAAATGATTTTGGCTCTTGATATAGATAAATATACCAAATAGGGCGGGAATTAAGAAATTTGATATTTGAGTATGATATTTATGATGATAGTAAATTTAAAGTCTCATACCATGATGATTCGAGATGCTGAGTTTCAATTTAGTAAAAAAATGCAAATTAATCTGTTAATGTGTTAATCTTGAGCTATTACGAACTGCGTCTGATATCTTGATTGCAAAATCATCGATTCTTGTATCCCTGGAAGTATGTAAAACCAGTGTTTTGGTTGGATCGTACGCCAGCAAATACAGCCAATCAGAGTCCTCAGGAGGAAGTTTTGTAAACTATAAGCCATAATGTATACAGTCTTTTCGCGAGGGGCTCTGATAGGATGTATGGTGTACAATCCAATCAAATTTGTGCATTCCCGAATACAAGAATAATGCCTATTCCAGTCAAGGTATAAGACGAAGTTCGTAATACCTTGACATTGTTATCGAACCGGCCCTGAGCTTCCTGCTGAATGGGACACACAAAGTGATAGTTATAATATTGAAAGCCACTTAACAGGTTGGTTGGTATCACTGACTTCTGGACAATATTTCTGACGTTAACATTAAGGATCGTGTTATCATAACTATTCTGGTTTTCTTTTACTCTTATATTTGGAATGTAGACGTCTTAGGAATGGTTAAGTTTTAACCAAAGTTGGCCATCTGTCAAAATGAAATTTAGTACAAATTAACCCAATTTTGATTTTACTCAACAATTTATATTGTTATTCAGGCGATTATGGTTAATAATTGCTGCTCAATATATTCAACCACCACTGTTAGGGCCTACCACTCTGATACCAACTTGCAACTTGACCACGGATACAAACATCATTATACACCCTTGACGTAGACGTAGGGCTTTCAGTCAAAAAATGATGGACTTTAAAGTTTCAATAAATCTTCGATCTAATTGTATCATCAACTGATGAAATATTTTTTACCGAAAATCACATGTAAAAGCTATAATATAGTTTGAAAATTGATAAGAATAATCGGATACTGTTATCAGTATAGTAATCACTTATGACATTCTGCTACTTACATAGTACTTTTCCTTTGTAAGTGGAAAGAAATTATCGTCCCCCAACACGCTCAAAACTCCTCCTATTCAATAATTTTGTTATTATGGGGCGTGGCGTAAACGACGATAACCGGAAAGATACGGAATTTTAATGGTAGGTAGGTAGATGACAAGTTAACGTTCGCTTCCAGTGGATGCTGATATCGCAAACTCCGTAACTTCGGGAGAAGGATTGGCTCAAAAGGCCGAGCGACCCGCTGCTAGCTTCGGAAGAGGGAACCCTAGAGCGGGAGTCCGCGAGGTGGCATATTAATTTGCAATTTTAATATGACCTGATCAAATATATAGTCTAGCTCAATTGACCGCGTTAGTATTTACGAGTTACACCCCTTTTCCAGAAAACGTCTCTTCCCGAGAATGTTCTGGAATCGTACTCAATAGAGATTAGATTTCTTCTATTATAATTAAGTTTAGGCAAAATGGATCACAAGCCTGCGCCATTTCTTCAACATCACCTGACTTCTCAAATTCAAGGAATTTCTTGAGTACGAGGCGTTTATCATCAGAATATGATGGGATAAATTCCAAGCCTTTAACTGTAATTTTAAAGTCTTACAAATAGTAAATCTGGTTCACTGGTTGATGAAATGACTGAGTCTTGAAGGCAGGAGTTACGCCCCTTATTTCGTTATTATTTGCGTGTCGACCGTCGGTTTGAAGGCGCCGTTGAAAATTGCACAGAAAATGATAATATTTCTAACGTAAGAGGATAGGTAGGATGGTAAACTTCAGACTAAACCACCTTATAACACAGTGTAAAAATCGGTCGCACCTGGTCACAAGATAAAAGTCAAAAGTAAAATTAATCGTATGCCATGATTGCCAATAAGAAATCTATACCAGTATGTCCACCTTTGAAACTGACGAATTGTATATAATAATATTATTAAAAAGGGAGTATTTGAATTACAAATGTACAAAATTATCCATCCAAACCTCACATGGCAAGCTATAAACACTGATACGGTAACGTGTTACAATTATTGCGAAACTTTCTTGTGAAATAATTGATAAAGCTATATGTTTATATAATGGTTATTCGATACCATCAATGGGATAAGTTCGATAACTATGATTTGAATCCGCCATGGTACACAATGGGGCTACTGTCATTAAAGTGATATGGTCGTATAATTTCCAGACTCCCACCTATCACTGAATTGGTATTTTTAAAATGTACTGTACCCGATGTGATATTCGTGAATAATCTGAATAAGAAAAAGGCCGTTGGGTAAAAAAAAAAAGGGGATTGCCCCCTTGAAAAAATTCTGACAACCAATGTCATTGTTTCAACTACAGACCATACCCCCATTGCCTAATGCAGTGACGCCAGATTTTTTTTAATGATATTATGTTTGTAAAAGGAGTAACACAGTGTCGAACATTTTTCTGAAAAATAAACATCAATTCTTTCAGATGATCTAAATAGCGAAAAATGAAAACAAAACAAATTTCATTTCATGGATAAATCATTGATATATTATCATTGTTGTATCATGCCATTATCAATGGTTTTAAATGAAGAATATGATGATCGACGTCGCATCTGCCCATTCATGTTCATTTTATCTTTCTCCATCTTTTTAGCTGTAAGTTTTTCTTTAATCTCTGAAGGTTTGAATACACCATATTCTGTGACAATGCCACCGGTAATAAGCTCTGCTGGTGTTACATCGAACGCTGGATTCCAGCAATCTATCCCTGAAAAATATAATAGAGAGCTCTTCTTCAACTTTCATGCCATAACATAAATGATGTCGACCTTTTCCGCCGCTCAAAAACTAAGTACAAAAAAACGTTCATCGAAACATCGCCAACTTAAAACTCATCATGCAGAGATCTTACCAAACTAAAATACCATATACGTGTATAACGTTTCACCCAAATCGACAGAAAATTCTACAAAAAAACTACATCTGGGCAATAACTCAATACCGTTCATAAAAATCGTTCAATATCGAACACATTCTGAATGTCTGTACAATCAAATCAGATGAATATTTAAGTTATATCGTGCTTACTGGAAATATTGACCTACTAACCGACGAACGAACGGACACGGACGACGAAAATACGCGTTACATTAAGGCGAATAAAAAATGTATTACCATGGGCTGCAATTCTTTGTCCTTTAATAGAGGTCATCTCAATGTGGGGTCGTTCTTCGATTGCAATTTCTTTCCCAGATTCTTTGCTAGGATCAAATGTTGTTAATGGACATGCAACATAAAATGGTACTTTGAAATGTTTAGCAATTATGGCAATTTGTATGGTTCCAATTTTGTTAGCAGTGTCACCATTAGCTACGACACGATCAGCCCCAACCACCACTGCCGTTATATCGTGGTGAGACATCAATATGGCTGGCATACTATCTAGTATCAGGGTTGCTGGAATGTTCTCGTGGACCAATTCATAAGCGGTGAGTCTGGCACCTTGGTTATAAGGCCGCGTCTCGGTACAATATACATGTTTTATACGGTTCTTCTCGTGTAAAGCTCTGATTACACCTGTAATAGAATTATGTATAACAATTTAGTCAAATTTTTACCCAGAACATAGTATTAAAGATAGCTTGCCAGGCAAGGTAACATACGCCCACTGGCAGCTGTCAGAAATGATTAAACAGTCTTTAGTGACTACAGGGTTGATAGAGTGAAACGTCAAGTCAGACACGATATTTCGGTGAAATATTATCCGATCATCGCGAAAATCGATAGGGATCATCTTCATAATGACATTGACATACAAAATAAAAATCAAAAGAATCTGTAAACAATTATAGCCTGTAGAGTGAGCACGAGTTGCACAATATAGCTAATAGAGTAAAACGTCAGGTCAGACACGATATTTCGGTGAAAAATATCCGATCATCATGAAAATCGATAGATCATCATGAAAATCAATAGGGATCATCTTCATAATGACATAGACATACAAAATAAAAATGAAAAGAATCTGTAAAAAATTGTAGCCTGTAGAGTGAGCACGAGTTGCACAATATAGCTAATAGAGAAAAACGTCAACTCAGACACGATATTTCGGTGAAAAATTATCCGATCATCACGAAAATCAATAGGGATCATCTTCATAATGACATTGACACACAAAATAAAAATCAAAAGAATCTGTAAAAAATTGTAGCCTGTGGAGTGAGCACGAGTTGCACAATATAGCTAATAGAGAAAAACGTCAAGTCAGACACGATATTTCGGTGAAAAATTATTCGATCATCACGAAAATCAATAGGGATCATCTTCATAATGACATTGACACACAAAATAAAAATCAAAAGAATCTGTAAAAAATTGTAGCCTGTGGAGTGAGCACGAGTTGCACAATATAGCTAAAAGAGAAAAACGTCAAGTCAGAAACGATATTTCGGTGAAAAATTATCCGATCATCACGAAAATCAATAGGGATCATCTTCATAACAACATTGACATACAAAATAAAAATCAAAAGAATCCATAAAGAACTGTAGCCTGTGGAGTGAGCACGAGCCAAATGTGAACGGACCGACGGACCGACGGACCGACGGGGTGATTACAATATACGCCCATCTTACGCGTGGGCGTATAAAAAGGATCATCCTAGACCCGGTATCCCCAGATAATTAAAAATATTTGCTCAGTAGACAATATATGGTTATATACTCTGCTGATATCCAAAAACTTTAAAATCTCAAGTTGCACAAGAGACCTTTCAGGTATATACGTTGGGAACCAGCGTCACAAATACATATAACATACTAAATTAAGAAGAAGTCAATAGTCGTTCAAATAAATGTATCATCAGCTCGAATCTACTTGTACATATCGTCTTTAAGATTCATAATCAAGGTTTCGCTACTTTTTCCTACATTATATCGTTGATAAAGTGGTATTCGTCTAGGCTGCCAGAGAACGTTTTGTTCCGGGAACCGGGGATAATGTCACAGATAGCTGAATATAAGATAAGACTTCCGTTACCTAATGATTCTCGTAACCAATTGAACACGGAGTGCAAGTTTCATGCAGGACTTTAATGTGTACGACCATCTTATTTCACGACCAACATTAATGGACTGAAAGGGGGAATAACTACGTTCCATTTAGAAGAGGAAGAATCTTCTACTCGCTGAATTGGAGCTCTTTCAGTTGGTGAAATAAACACCAAGACGACTTTTACTTACCCAATGCTGTACCATATCCAGCAGTGGCCAGAGATCCCGTATTGCAATGGGTTAAGATATTGACATTATCTTTATCTTGACAATGGTTTAGAATATGTTCTGCACCATGCCGTCCTATATCTTTATTTATAGTAACATCATCTTCAAACAAAATCTCTGCTGCTTCTATAGCTCTAAAAAATACCATCAATGTTGGATGATTGGACAGCGATCAGAACAATTTCGGCATGCAAGATTGCAAACGCTATTTCGGATCCTGGGGACTATTAATGTTTTATACCCCTCTTTGCCGATTTTTTACATGCAGTCGGACATGTCCATATACAGCACTCGTAGATTAGGAGAAGGAAACAGTTCACTCACTCAAGAACTTTTCTGTAGAAAAATTACAAAGTCAACAGCATAATTTCAAAACTACAGATTCATAAGGGTTAACCGCTATCGTGTCACAATTTTTTATGGGAAAGATATTTATGTTCTTTGCAGATAGTTTTCAAATTTCGTTTTGAATTTCAGTGAGTTTTAGAGACTGTGACAACTTACAATTCTTTAAATGCATGAACAGATAAATCGCTGTCTGTAGTTAATTCCTGGAGCATTTTTGAGATCCAATCAGACGCCTCTTTCATATTGACTGCAGTGGGTCTGGCAGTAACTAAATAATTCAATTTATCTTTCACATAATCAGCTATTTCTTGATGAGACTGAAATTCCATGTGATATATCTCCACTGCCATACTGAGACATCCTACTATTGCTATTGCCGGAGCACCTCGCACCTACAGAAAATCAAAAGTCAGTGTTTACAATTCCTGAAAACTCTATTGCAGATATGGACGATCCCGATTATTGAGAATAACTGAAAGCATTCAGGTGAAAGACGACAAAACTTGTGGTGTTAAGAGACATATTCGTCACAAAGTTTAGCTAAAGGTTTCTACACCATAGCATTCACCGGTTGCGTATGGTTGCAAATGAGGAAAGTGGTCATGATTTTCTAAAGCAACTCACAACTCAGTTTTCAGGAGAGTTGCGTTCGAAACTTATGACCGCTATTCTTATTCGGAAGTTTACGCAACTGGTGATCTCTATGGTGAGGAGGACTGAACAGAGCTCTGAGCATATGCAATCACATAGGTAAAATAAGGCTCTTTCCTTTCTAAAGCACACACAGTGGAGACTTAGTCAATTTAAGGGACTAGAATCACTAGATAATATCAATTTAATATTTTGAAATTTTGAAGTATAGGCTGCGTTAGTCTAATTTTTCGCATTTTTTTCTATCGAAATATGTCGTATACTTCAAAATCTGTGTATGTCACATATTTCCTAGCCCCCATGGGGCATTCCTTAATTATGCACAAAAATTACTTTAACCTTTTATTCTTTGAAAAAACCAATATCAATACAATAATTCATTAGGAAAACAACAACCATCAAACCAACATTTTATATGAGTGTCAAATATAGAAAATTAAACATTTCTTTGAATAACGACCATCAGCTCGCAAAAGTGTCACTAACCAAAAACATCATCAACATCACGACCAATATGAAACCATCTTTCTAAACTGTTATACAACAATCGCCTTTCTTTAGACGCGGATACAATCTTTTTCACAGATAGAAAGCAATTTCCGGGAAATTTGGCACTGGATTCGTTAGAATGTTTGATGTTTACATTGTCCGAGGATACATCATCACCCTCTTGAGGGAACGTTAAATGTTCATCTGTGATCTTCCATGGAGATGGAGATTTATTTATAAAAGCATCTGGATTTGTTCTGGAATTTGATTTGGGATCTGATGACACTTTGTCCTGAGTTTTTCTCATTCCTTCAATATCGCACCCTTTCTTATTTATACCTTCACCATCCATCACCGAATTTTCAAAATCCGGATCTTTTGATGGGTGTGTGGATTTGTCGCAATTGATGGAATCGTCAGTCATATCAGAAGCTTGCTCCACAGACCCAATCACTTCACTAGCGGGAATATCTGCAGGTATTTCTCTTGTCGAGTCGTCATTTATTATTTCATATATTTCACGCATGGCGTCCCAATCAGATACCATTTCACAACCTTTTCCATTCACCGAGGAATTCTCTATAGAACATGTATCACTCTTATTTTGTTTCGTTTCCACAATAGGGCCATTATTAAGCTTTTTCTCTTGGCTCTTTCGTGGAGAATCGCTAAATTTTACCCCTTTCACAACTTTTCCTCGCGACCTTCGTTTCAATATTTTACGATTGTTTTTGTCCATACGTTCATCCTGTAAATCGGTGTTTTTAGCAAATACTTCTACACGTGCTGAAAGAGGGTCATAAAGCTTTCTTCGTTTATTTGGTCGAAGGGGTGACGTTCTAAGTAAATGGTCGAAACAAGCCATATTTGCTCTCTCAGCCAAATTAAGCCCACATGGTCCTTTGGCATTGGCTTTTACTATTGGAAACACTTTCTTAGGTCGAATACAGGCTATAAAATTTAACAGTTCTGAATATGAACTGTGGTCGGAATATGGTACAATAAAACGATGTGTTGACTTGAAAAATGTTGGTCTCATTTCTCCCATTCCCGTGTAAAGAGCAGAAGGTAATATACCAATTGTTGGTTTCTCTTCATTCCATAATGACAACTGTTGGACACTAACAGTATGGAATGGTGCCACTCGTAATCGACAGTCTGGAACATCATCTTGAAGAACAAAAACATTAGGCATATCCAACAGACTGGCGACCTCCATAATACGACCAGGAACAGCGATCCATTCCTTCAATTCTAAAGCGATATTAACGAGCAACTGCTCTTTCCCGAGGTTTCGCATACCAAACACTATGTTATGTTTGGGAAAGCGTTTTATTAGTGTCAGTATTGACTGAGTGGCTTCTTTTCGTGTTAAAAAATCACATGCTGGACTACAATATGTATTATCTAAATATACTATATCAATTGTTCCTAGGTGTTCAGATAGGGGACTAGAGTTCTTCATTTTGGGACAGAAACGGAAATCGCCAGTGTATAAAATTTTGCCAAAATCTCCTTCAAAGAGAAACATGACGGCACCTGGACAATGATTGGCATTTATTACTGTTACTGTTATATACTGTCCATTTCCAGCATTTATAACATGACTTTCACTCTCTTCTAATATATTTATTAGTGATGAATTTACATGATAACGACTGTCTAAAAGTTTAGCAGTAACAGGGGAACAGTAAATCGGGCGGTTCCAAGAAGAAGTTAACCCTACAATATGGTCACCGTGTAAATGGGTCAAGAAGAACAGTTTTTCGGCGCCACATTCTCGTATTTTCCAGAAATCCACCACGATTGGAGTACCGGGGATAACACCACCATTCATTCTTACAGTTTCTTACAGTATGTCACTGCTCCTTGTTGACTTCATCCCCTGAAATATCAGAAAACAATGGTGTTACACTCGTGTCTTTCAGAATCACAATTTACCAACATTTTTAAAAAAAAATTGGCATATCAACTCCAAAATAACGCCGATTGATAAGATTGTCTTTAATTAAAAATTCCAACTGATCGAAAATCATTATTTGGAAATTATCAGTCCATAATGTGTCATTTTCAAGTTGAATCTTTGCAAGTGAAGCGTATACTTATTTGAAGTAAACAACAGTCTGCAACGTAAAGGAAAAGAGGACCAAAGCTTTGAAAAAAATATAGAATAATCGAGTATGCTTAGAATCGAATTATATAAGCAAATCATTTAGAGGATGTTTTGATCGAAAATCCTTTTTTCTAAGGCCAGTAAACGTGTGGAAGACTTGTTAGTTTGCTATTAAAACATGTGGGGAAAAAACAGATTTATCTTACTGATTAGAATTGCTGAGCAAACTACGGGATGAAATAGGAAATCTTGTTAATTTTTTCAAAGGCGTTGAATATATTAAGGATAAACAAGCGATACTGAACAGATCATCTATAATAAAAGTACTCACTGTTAAAGGGAGATAACAAAAAACAGTGTACGGCAAATCATCATCAACAGTAAAAAAGTTAGTTAGTTATAGAACTACCACGATCAGATAAATTCTATGGCATACTAAAGACATTTTCGTTTGAAATAAGCTGACATATTATTTAGTATTAAAGCTGCAAAGGCCTTTTAATTCGTGCAAAAACGTAGCCTAGTGTAGGCCTAGTATAGGGCAACATTTTTACAGATGTCGGTGGAAATACAAAAAAAATATATTTTTGATATCATGTAAGCTATCGGTGTGGATATCATAGCTTAGCTTAATCTGTAATTCTTAATCAGAATTAATCTGGAAAAACATAAGAGAATTTTCAATTTTAGACTAGCGGTAACATTTGATTATTCACTGATTAGAATTGACATCCAACCACACGTTCTATTTTGAAATTGATATTTTATATCATTTAAGGAGTAAAAATGGTTTGTTACTGTACTAAAGTTACTCTACCCGAAAAAATGGTCTGTGTCCTTAACTGTACGCTCATTTCTAAGAAAAATCAATTTTAATACTGCACCAAATCTATTTTATCTAACAATTCTATTTTTCACTTTTAGTCTCTGGGCCCTCTGGGGGCAAAACGGGCCCTCTGGGGGCAAAACAGACCCTCCGTGCAAAACTTGCTAGTATAGTGGAATATGGAGAATCAAATGCACAGCACGACATGTCTTCAGATCAGTTAAATCCTCCTATATGGCCAACAGCTTCAAATTTACAAGCGACTCGTGACACAGACACAGTCGCTCACATTATTCACTAGCAGACACTGAACAATGACAAAATGACACCGAAGCCAGAGAGAATCGAAGGAGCTCCATACCTTCATTTGCTTGATGGCGTCCCATCCGTCTTCGGTATTTTTTATAGGAATATATTCTGTATGCGTTGGTAATTGCAGTTGATCTAATATGTCAAGGTTTCCACGATCATATCGAATAGCTTTTAAATTTGAGTCCACCGTATTCGACATGATGTTCTAAATAGTCAGTTCGTTCCAATCAAACTTAGGCTTTGCAGCTTTCGTTAATTTATTTGTTACGATTTGCTCTTATCGAATTTTACTTTTAGTGACAAACTAGAACTGTATTTTCGGTGGTTTCAACAAGTTTTAAATCGTATTCTTATTTGAATGGTTCTACCTTAAACGATTTTACTAGGTCGGAATGAATTGTCATAAGTAGTAAATTGGATAAAACGAAGTGGCTTAAATAAACGACCTTGACCTGCAGTGTAAACTAGTCTAGATTGTCCAGCCAGTTTCTTCCATTTACGTTTCTGAAGCAAACTACTTGATAATCGTGTTCTAAACTGGAACACGTGTTGTTGTTGAAGAAATATAATTTGGCATCTCTCGGACTTTGTTTCTCACCTATCAAGTAATTCTTTATATTAATGATATTTCTTGCACGAATCGCGCCTGTCAGATATGTTTTCTACCCTAATATCCCACCTCTGATTCATTTTATATTGAATTTGTCTGTCAATTCAATGACCTTTTACACTATTTTGGCATTATTTCACTCGTATTTCAAGTTTCAGAATGATTTTTTTTCTATTTTTGGATACACACATCTCTTTTCAAAATGACCCTGGAACCTGAAATTGCTCCACCATTGGGACTGTTAAAAAAGTGCACTCTGTTTATCAATCTTTCTAGACTATCACTCTGAATACTGCCATCTGATGGGAGCTTTCTCAAGCAGATGACCATAAGATTAAACCAATAATATTATCAATCAATGTATTGAAATGCACTCTGATTTTCACAGAATAAATATCATCAGGATATATATATCGATTCATTGATTTGGTCTCCTGGTTGTAAAGGTTTGAATATCTGTAAAAAAAAAAAAAAAAAAAGAATGTATTATTTCTATGATAAATAAAAACAGTAGGTGAGTAGGTGCTTTAGATTGCTTTTACTGCATTCACATTAACGTCTTTATTTTCTATCATTTCAGGTCAAAAGATAATGTATAGATTATAAGAAATCTAATATGTCCAGACTTATTGTGAAAAATCTCCCAAAGAGAGTGAAAGAATCCAAATTAAGACAACTTTTTGGCGAACATGGCACACTGACTGACTGTACCTTGAAATATACTAGAGATGGTATCTTTAGAAGATTTGCCTTCATTGGATACAAGTCAGAGGAAGAGGCAAAGAATGCTCAAAAATATTTAGATAAAACTTTCATCAATACTGATCAAATGGAAGTGAACATTGCTACTACTGTGAATGATGGTGAAAAACCCAGAGCTTGGAGTAAATATTCTAAAGACAGTTCTGCCTTCCAGCGTAAAGAGAAGAGTGACCCAGCCAATATCGAGAAAGCTCAGAAAGAATTTGAAGAGAAGAAGAAAAAAGAAAGGGCTGAAAGAGTTCACGATTTGTTGGGTGATTTGAAGGATGATGAAGGCTTCCAAGAATTTCTTAATGTTCATGATAGTTCATCTAAACGACCTATTTGGACAAATGATACTACAGAAGCTGGTGCAAAAGCGTCAAAGAAAAAAAAGAAAAATGAGAAATCTTCAATGAAGGAGAAGCCAGTAGCAGTGGAAGAGACAGATGACATGGAAGAAGAGGAACCAAACAAGAAAGTCAAAAAAGTGAAATTGAAAAAAGAAGAAAATAAACTTTCAGAGACTAAAATTTCTGACATGGATTATTTAAAGGCGAAGATGTCCCAGACTGATGTAAATGAGTCTGGCAGTGAGAGTGAACATGAAGAACAAGACACTACAGCTGTTGAAGAAACAGCACCTCCCTTATCAAATAGTCAGGAGAAAAGATACAGTGTTTTAATGAAAGGAATAAAGGGAGCGTGTGGAGCGAATACCATCATTAAATTCTTTACTCCTTTAAAAGTTGGGAAAATTGATATTGTGAAGAGTGAATTAGGAGTGAATATTGGGGTGGCTTATATTGACTTTTTCACTGAGAAAGATATGGAACAGGCTCAAAAAAGGAGCAAGAACTTTATCAATGGAAAGAAAGTGATTATAAAGAAATTAGGAGAAAAGATGGTGGATGTTGAACCAAAGAAAACTCGTCCATGGGAAGTGAAGAATTTCAAAACTACTGAAGATGAAGAAGGGATTGCTGAAAGTGGTCGATTATTCGTCAGAAATTTAGCATATTCCTGTACAGAAGAAGATGTTGAAGAACTCTTCAAGCCATTTGGTCCTTTGGCTGAGGTGACACTGCAAGTTGACAGATTTTTAAATAAGCCAAAAGGATTTGCTCTGGTAACATTTATGATGCCAGAGCATGCTGTAGCTGCCTATACCAAACTAGATGGTAGTATATTTCAGGGGAGGATGTTACATATTTTACCTGGTAAAGAAAAGAAAGAATATGAAGATGCTGATGGATTGACCTTTAAGAAGAAGAAAGAACTAGAACAGAAAAGACTGGCTAAGAGTTCACACAACTGGAATGCTCTATTTTTAGGAACTAATGCAGTAGCTGATGTGATGGCAGAGAAATATGGTACTAGTAAAGGTGATATTCTGGATGCAGAAGGTAAAGCCAGTCTTGGTGTTAGAATGGCTCTTGGTGAAACTCAAATTGTGTCCGAAACTCGTGATTTTCTTATAGAAAATGGTGTGTGTCTAGACAGTTTTAGTCAAGCTACTGCACCAAGGAGTAAGACAGTCATTCTAGCTAAAAATTTACCTGCAGGCACTTCTTTAGATGAACTTTCAACCTTATTTAGTAAATTTGGAAATCTTGGACGTTTACTTTTACCACCAAGTAGTTTGACTGCTATCATTGAATTTACTCAACCAAATGACGCTCGTTTTGCTTTCACTAAACTAGCTTATTCAAAGTTCAGACATTTACCGTTATATTTGGAATGGGCACCAGTGGAAGTGTTTAAGCCTGTGGTAGCACCTAAAACTGAAGATAGTGGTATTGAATCAGAAACAGCAGCCAGTGGTAGTAAAACTGAAGCAGGAGATGCTGATGCTGACTCTGATAGTGACGAGGAGGAAGATACTACACTCTTTGTGAAGAATTTGAACTTTGAATCTAAAGAAGAAGACCTGAAGTCTCTCTTTGAGAAATGTGGTACTGTGGCAAAAGCTAATATTGCCAAGAAAATGGACGTCAAAAATCCTGGAAAACAGCTTTCCATGGGTTTTGGCTTCATTCAGTACAAACATAAATCTTCTCTAGAAAAAGCACTTAAAGAATTACAAAAATCTGAATTAGACGGACATAAGTTAGAATTGAAGCGTTCAAATAGAGTAACTCAAAAAGACAATGTCAAACAAAGGAAGAAACAAAAGGAAAAGGCAGCTTCAACAAAGATACTTGTGCGAAACATACCTTTTGAAGCAAAGGTTCATGAACTCTCGGAACTGTTCAAAGTATTTGGTGAAATCAAATTTGTTCGCTTGCCAAAGAAACTGAGTGGAACTGGAACCCATAGAGGTTTTGGTTTTGTTGACTTTATGAGCAAAGAGGATGCTAAGCGAGCTTTCAATGCTTTATGTCACAGTACTCATTTATATGGGCGTCGTTTAGTGCTAGAATGGGCAGAAACAGAAGAAAACATTGATGACTTGAGACGGAAAGTGGCTGGACAGTTTCATGATGAACCTGAAAGTAAAAAACTTAAAAAATCTACCTTTATTGAAAACCTTGAAAGAACTGTTTAAAGTGAAATATTTGGTTCTTGTATTATTTGAAATGAGATATTATATAAGGACATTATTTATAAAATTTGACTTAGATTTTCTCCCTTTTTTAACATATGATAGTAACCATTAAAGAGTCCAATTTGGTAACTTTTGCCCTTTGCCTCCGAAAATAATACAACCGTCCCATATCAGCAATCCAGCTAAACCCCAGACGGCGGAATCATGAAAGCTTCGGTTTATTGTTAGATCCGAACGACTTTTCCATATCAGCCCCTCCGACATGCATCGCTGACAGCGGGATATCCGAAGGAGTACATCGACCTATTGTCAGTCTACAAACTGTAATACCGCGGCGGCCCCTTTTTGTCAAGGGCACTTATATGTTTCAGTTATAATCTGGACATGTTCAATTCATTGAACTACAATTATCCAAATCATGAGCTTGAATAAAATCATCGTATTATACTAAAAATGACATCTTATTTTATGGTTGTAAGGGATATAAAATAAATGTATCAAAGTTTATGAGTACAGACCAAGAGGAAGATTGGAGGCTATAAACATAACCTATCATATTGATTGTTTAGCTTGCTTTACTCTCTCCGCCGCTTCTAACATCTTGTTATATTCTGTTACTTCACAATCACAGAACAACTTGTTTCTGCTCTCATTGGACGTATTGAAGTATATTTGGGGGAAATGCGAGTCCATTGTGGTAAATTGAGTATATAATATATACTTGATAATATGCACCAATGGTTAGAATATATGTAAAGAAAAGTATATTAAGAAAGTTTTGTCGAGATGATTAGATCTGTGTTATTGATATCATCTTGTGTTTTATTACATGTTGGACCTTCTAAGGGTAAGACATTTTTAAACGTTACTTTGGGTTACTTTTACATTTATAAAATGTATGAAAATCAATTTTCGCAAATTAAAAATTTCGATGGGTTGGCAAAATTATCAAAACAAAATACAGAATCATGAAAATGCCATTGTAATATTAACTCAATCACTCAATCAAGGGACATAATATTCGTGTTGAGTTGAGACAGCCCAATTAGAGCTACCACTTTTTCATAGACAAACCATAAGAGTTTATCCCTTCAAGAACAAAACTTGATTCGAGAACCATATGCGTCTTTTCAATATCGCCTGAAAATGCAAAAATTTTATCTACAATATCAGAATATTTCATTTTAAAAACATTTCAAATTGATAGTAAGGCTGAGTTTGAAACCATCAATATTCAATAATATAATATAATTCAGGTCTTCATTTATTACAGTCTATTTGCCTGAAGCAAGGATTTAAGGTCAATAGTTTGTTAATTTAAGCCAAAAAAAGAAGAAAATTTGAGAGTATTGATCGAATATATCAAATCTATCGGTCGTGTAATTGAATTTGAACAATTTTATTTGAAACGATAGAAATAAGTATAGTAGAGGAAATGTGATTAGACGACTTTAGTTAGATAAATAGTTCCTCCTCCAGCAATCGACAATATTAGCCACGAATATCTCTCTTTTCGAATTTCCTACATTTTTTTAAAACTGATCCTTTTGGTAAATGTTCTTGTCATGTGGGATAAGAGTATAACTGGTTTAGAAATGTCGGTTTTTCAATTTAAATTTTTTTTTTAATTTAATTTGTGAAGGTAAAAATAAAGCTGTATAGGCTAACTAACAAATAACCTATAATTTCGAATATAGAGCGCACCTCCTTTTCAAGCGCGAGTAAAGTTGAAAAAAAAACACATCGTAATTAACGCAAGATTTATAATATTTAGTGGCAATATCGAGTATTCCACCTCTACCTAACTTTGGTTACATGCTAACTTTGTACCATATTTTGTATTGTATACAAAACAATTGTGTTCAACTAAGGTACGGATGCACAATTGCAATTTTGTGGTAAAATATTCATGCAATCCCCTGTCATGTAATGTGAGTAATGATTAAGATCTGCATGAACCCATCTCCACTTGGTCTTCATCCTATATCTTAACTGTAATGGCCAACTTTCTTGTTTAACGATCTGCGTTTTGATTTGATTGTACACCAGCGAATACAGCCACACAGAAAACATTCAATTTCATGAGTAATTATTTTTGTCAGGGCTCATATTAACAGTGGTCAATATTTCATGCTTATTATAGTTACCTTTGCTAAAATCTAACAAAGCTGTCGGTGGGCGCATGTTACCTTGTATGGTAATCTATCTTATTCTTACAGCAAAATACACCGCTGATGGCTGTGAATGGAAATGGATGAGCTTTAAAGACCATTGTTATTATTTTGGAGCCAAAAGTACGAAATTTTCCGAAGCTGTTTTAGAATGTGAAAACTTGAATTCCTCGTTGGCGAGTATATGGTCCAGCGATGAAAGAGATTTTGTTATTGACAAATTGTGGCAGGTAAAGATAGATAAATTTTGACCTTAACATCACAATGTGTTTTCTTTATAGTACTTCTTTTTTAGTCACGATTTTAATGGAGATTATGGTAATTTTCAGGGACATTAAATCAAACTGAATTACTCGCTTATCATGCACTTTAACAAGTTCAAGTCGACGACTCAATGGAATATATATAATTGATATTCTGTGGATTCCTTTCCATTTCTCTACAAATTTCATTGGTAAATCCGATCACGTATTATAGCGAATTAATGAACAAATTAATGATTTATTTAAGAATTTATGTTGAAAGAATTCCTACATTAAGGAACTAGATTAATTCAATAAATATTGATTATTTGATGATAACGGATATCGAGAGTTGAAAATTACCCACCATTACAACATTGAGATTGCCTATTAACAGTTCACATTGTGTAATTATCATTGAATAAACCAACCAAACAAGTACGCAGAATTTTTAATACAAGTCTTAATATTTTTCTACAAACTGATTCGGCTTATTCGCATTATGATGTATCTAAATTCACCCCAAAATAAGCGCACATCAAATCAGACCGCTGTGATAGTAACATATCATATCGATATGATGTCAATCTCCGATAGCAAACTATCAGCCCACTGTGATAGTAAATCAGTCCTCTTCGATAGTAAAATATCAGTCCAATATTAAATCAAATATCAGTAATAGTTATATATCAACCCGATGTGATATCGTGTCAGTCCTCAGTGATAATTAGATACCAGCTCAATATGATATAAAATCAGTCCTCTGTTTATTATCAAATATCGCCCAATGTGATATTAAATATGTCCTCTGTAATTATCAAAATCCGCCCAATTTGATACCATATCAGTCGTCTTCGATAATCAAATATCAGCCCAATATGAATGAAATTCTTCGGGTGGATTTAATTACAAAAATCATATTTTAGCCCACAGTTGACAGAATAGAATTTGGTTGGATGGGTTTATATGGAACTCCTGAAAATACCTGGAAGTGGACAGACAATTCAAAAGTAGCACTCAATATATCAGGTATTATAACATTTATATTTCATTTATTTGTCTGTCTGTCCATCTGTTATAAGCACGGTAATGAGTTTGAGTGGGTGGTTCCTTTGATAACGGATCTGGTTTTAGGTTTCTTTCCAATTGATGGATTCTGGAAAGTTAGATTTGTTTATTCTGTCACTTGGAAAGATCAATGCTTCTCATGCGGAAACTATCCAACTTAGTTTATATTTTTCATTTCAGTAAGTACATTATGTTTTTCCACAGACTGAGTTAAGAAAGTCTATCAATTAAGTTATGAGACAGTCGTATTGAGCCAGAAAAGATAGCAGTAAAGGTTAATTCACATTTTAACCCCCCAGACCTAGGGCATTGATTTTTTAGAAAGTGTGTCGCAATTGACCAAGTTATTTGTTATATCACCGTTTGTTACGCGCTGTAACTTGATCCTAAACATACCATTGGCGAGGGTGAGGAAACAATAGTTCCCTCTAAAAATTTTCATCCGTTCTAAATTGGTCTTTCTAACATATAAATTTTTCAAATAAGTCGCTGATTAACAAGTATATTTGTTCAATTTCTCAATAAACATACAAAAGCAGACTATTAATTTAAAAACACAAAATCAACAGCATATTACTACACTGGATAACAAAGATTTTAAAGTGCTATCATGTCACAATTTGCTACCTAGTTTCGGATTGTGTATATTGTGATCTTATGTAGCACTGATGTAACTTTTCTAATGTTCCCCCAAATACCGAGAATAATCAACAATGTCAGACTGATTAGCTGTCTGTTAAGTACCATTTACTATTCCATCCTCCAGTACAGATCAATTTTCTCAACATATTTGTATAAGGCTCACACAAACATTGTAGAGGGTTTAAGATAGCTTTATCCTCGAAAATCTTATCGATTTTTCTTCAATTCACCCAGATTTGGACAGAATCTGTCTGAAATATATACAGTTTGGACAGCATTATCCAGTATCAGATGATACCTAAAAATTCAAATTGGCTTGCTTCAGATGATACCTAACAATTCAAATTGGCTTGCTTCAGATGATACCTAACATTTCAAATTGGCTTGCTTCAGATGATATCTAACAATTCAAATTGGCTTGCTTCAGATGATACCTAACAATTCAAATTGGCTTGCTTCAGATGATACCTAACAATTCAAATTGGCTTGCTTCATATGATACCTAACAATTCAAATTGGCTTGCTTCATATGATACCTAACAATTCAAATTGACTTGCTTCAGATGATACCTACTAATTCAAATTGGCTTGCTTCAGATGATACCTAACAATTCAAATTGGCTTGCTTCATATGATACCTAACAATTCAAATTGGCTTGCTTCATATGATACCTAACAATTCAAATTGACTTGCTTCAGATGATACCTACTAATTCAAATTGGCTTGCTTCAGATGATACCTAACAATTCAAATTGGCTTGCTTCATATGATACCTAACAATTCAAATTGACTTGCTTCAGATGATACCTAACAATTCAAATTGGCTTGCTTCATATGATACCTAACAATTCAAATTGACTTGCTTCAGATGATACCTACTAATTCAAATTGGCTTGCTTCAGATGATACCTAACAATTCAAATTGGCTTGCTTCATATGATACCTAATAATTCAAATTGGCTTGCTTCAGATGATACCTAACAATTCAAATTGACTTGCTTCAGATGATACCTAACAATTCAAATTGGCTTGCTTCATATGATACCTAATAATTCAAATTGGCTTGCTTCAGATGATATCTAACAATTCAAATTGGCTTGCTTCAGATGATACCTACTAATTCAAATTGGCTTGCTTCAGATAATACCTAACAATTCAAATTGGCTTGCTTCATATGATACCTAACAATTCAAATTGACTTGCTTCAGATGATACCTACTAATTCAAATTGGCTTGCTTCAGATGATACCTACTAATTCAAATTGGCTTGCTTCAGATGATACCTAACAATTCAAATTGGCTTGCTTCATATGATACCTAACAATTCAAATTGACTTGCTTCAGATGATACCTACTAATTCAAATTGGCTTGCTTCAGATGATACCTAACAATTCAAATTGGCTGGCTTCAGATAATACCTAACAATTCAAATTGGCTTGCTTCAGATGATACCTAACAATTCAAATTGGCTTGCTTCAGATAATACCTAACAATTCAAATTGGCTTGCTTCAGATGATACCTAACAATTCAAATTGGCTTGCTTCATATGATACCTAATAATTCAAATTGGCTTGCTTCATATGATACCTAACAATTCAAATTGGCTTGCTTCAGATGATGCCTAATAATTCAAATTGGCTTGCTTCATATGATACCTAACAATTCAAATTGGCTTGCTTCATATGATATCTAATAATTCAAATTGGCTTGCTTAATATGATACCTAATTCAAATTGGCTTGCTTCAGATGATACCTAATTCAAATTGGCTTGCTTCAGATGATACCTAATTCAAATTGGCTTGCTTCAGATGATACCTAATAATTCAAATTGGCTTGCTTCAGATGACACCTAACAATTCAAATTGGCTTGCTTCAGATGATGTATCAGACGATACACATGGTTCACATTGGGTTGTATCAGATGAATAATTGAAATTGGGTTATGATGTAAGGATATATTAGGTAGTATTTGGCCTATATTGGTCTACATCTTTTTAAGTTTTACTTCGGTTGCACAAGGTTAAGCGATTGCTTCAAATTTGGTTTTACCATAATATGATACCCAAAGATTTTAATCGGGTAGTAATTGGTAATGAATAAACATTAGCATTACGGTGCATCAAATAATTTATTCCAAGTATACACTTCATTCTATATATGTTCGCTTTCTTTCTCTAAACTTTCAACGTTGAAAAAAAAAACATGCATTTAAGTAACAAACCAGTATGAAACGAGAAGAAATATTAGTTGGTTAGATTGTATGAATCTGAGGAGTTGATGCAGTAGACCGAGAAATAATATTACTGAAGAATGGGGGATTTAACTGGTAATTTGAACTGACAAGTCGTGGTTTCCAACCAATACTGTATTGTTTGATGTTTCTATTTTAAATCAGAAGAGTTTTCAACTCGACCTCAAGAGTATAAGAATCGATATTCTCCTCTCATTTCTGGGATTTGAGAATTTTAATCAAAGATTGGTACTTCTTTTCTAAGTCAATATTCAAACCTAAAGATTTCCAGAATTGGCAACTGTTTTTTGTCTAATAAATCCAGCAGGGAATTTAAATGATTGAATCTAAAGTATCTGAATGTTTTCAATGTTATCAATTACCGAAGACTTTATAATCCAATCCGATTTATCAGATAATATTTGCTTTAATCACCATAGTGTGCATTTAAGGGTAGATTTTTTAAACCATGCAATGATGCATGATATCTACATCACACATTTCTTTCTTTTTTTTCTCTCTCTTTTTTGAAAAAGTCTTTACTAAAGTTTTAGCAGTGAATATCACCTATCCCCCAATTACTTTAATTTGTACTTTCAGGAATGCCCCAGAATAAAAAGACAAAGTGTGGAGCAATGAGAGGAAAAGGCAGTTACGCATTTTTAGATTGTATTTCACCAGTTGGAGCTTTCGTCTGTAAACAATGTATCTATTTATCTCAAATTCAAATCTTATTCATTCGATATTACGCATTAAGCATATTGGGATAATGGTAGTATAGTAGCACCGTCTATGTGCTATGGTAACTGCCAGTATCCAGAATCAATGTCTAAACTTTCAGTTTCAACAATCATCTCAATGAGAAACTGTAAGCTTGCTAAACTGAAATAGGCACCAATTTTGTCAATAACCTATACAAAATTGTGATCAACCATCAGGTTTTTTATTCATAACAGTTGGTTGTATGGAGTTTGCAATGAATCATAGCGGTATAATTTTACCTTTTCAGCTACACCAATGTTATATATTGAGAGTAATCTCGTCAACTATACCTATTCTACAGACGACGAGAATCAACATAGAGCCGAATTATTTGAGAGAGTTTGGCCACCACGACTGGCCGGTAGTCCAGATCCCAAATACCATATGGCTACTATAGAAGTGATATCAGAGACTGGATGTGCTTATATTTGTTCCAATCTACCAGGCTGTCGAGGATTTCAATTGACTTGTATAACAAGTTTAATATGTGAGAAATATTACTGCTTATTGATATCTGGAATATAAATATTTATTCTGGTTCGAACGTAAAATCTTGCTAATCATATTTTCATAAAGTATTGTGATAGGTTATTATGCAAAAACATTTTTAGATTTATATTGGACCATAAGTGCAATAACTTTATATATTATATTAATATATATTTAAATAATAATTGTCCATGGTCTTACCAAGTTTGTTCAAAATACAATTAAAACTGTAGCCTCTATCGCAATTCACAAGCAATATTTTGTACGGACGGCAAGGCTAATTATGCTGTATAAAATTAACATAAATTAGATATTTATGTTGTATAAAAAATATCTCTGAATTAGATCGTTTATTTTTGATAAATATTTAATCACATATGAAAATTTAAACAAAATAATTTTACTAAAGAACAGAATTGATCAAATATGTTGAAATTACTATACATTTAAAAACAGTTAAAACCGGTGTGCAATGAATACAGCATGCGTTCTGTTTAAACACAGGATACAAACTATCAATGAAGAAACAAGAGAATGAAGAATTCAATTGAAGAGATTAAATGTTTTATATAGAGACAAATTATTACTGTTTCCAGATATATATGTATCTGGGAATATTGTGCACAGTAATTAAAGATAATAACATAATAAATTTATAACTTGTCCAGTAAAAGAGCGATATTGTTTGACAAGAACCATCTTGTGTTTTGCTGATTGTTTGTGGTGGGATCTATTTTCATTTGCACTTCTATGAACAGTAGCCTGTCTGAATGCCCATTGTTATCTTGTTGAGTCATAGCTTAAGTAAAAAGACTGACCAAGACATGAAGTTCATTTTTACAGGTCAGGGTAATTAATCAAGCAGGAAACAGAAAAACACAGATTAAACTAACCTTCCATCAATAATAAGCACATTTATAAGACTAATTAGCTTTTCTAATGAAATGCCAACATGCTACATTGGAGAGAAATGAAAAGGCTTAAAGAGTATTGTGACACAAAAAAGATGTATTTATGAAGGCACTTGAGTTATTGAAAGCATTAATATTGTTAGTTTATCTTGAAACCATAGAGTGCTGTAATTCTGCTTGAAGTGAATTGTCTTTCACGAAGAAATCACACGGCAAAGCAATTAATATATCAATTGAAAAATATTGTAACAAAATAAAAAATGAACCGGCAAAAAATAAATTGGAAAAAATTATGAATTTATCATCATATTTTTGTCCAAGTGTGATACAGGGCCCTAGTTTGTTAGTGAAACTTTGTTCTGTTTTCAGATGTTGCTGACAGAAACTAATCACACAAATCAATCTTCAAATGTTATCATCTGCAGGCATTATCAGATAAAATATTGAGATCCTATGCTTAGCTTTTAACCTTATATATAGACAATACTTAACAAACATTTGGATATCAATAGTAAAAAGATGCACCAAATATCAAAAATAATCTCTCAGTAATATTACATCAGTAATAAATCATCACCCTAATATATAAAATAATATTAATCTGATCTCATTTTGTCACAGTTTATACTGAAGGAAAACATATCAAATACTATTTGAAACATATTTAACCAAACACAAAACCCTGCAAACAATTCGTCATCCAACAAGACACAATATAGATCAAAGTTAAAAAATTTCAGTATGTTTTATCTGAAGAAAAAGATGTCTAGAAAGTACCTAAGAAAATTGTATTATAAGTTTAAAAATATTTGACAAGATTAGATAATAATACAAGGCATGATAAAAGCAAAGAATTGTAAGTAATCTTATGGGGGTAGGGAAAGAGGGGCAGTATTTAAATTAATGAAGCAAAATTTAAAAAATACATTAGAACTTTCTTATATCAACATATATACACTGTGTTTGCTGTAGTTAGGGAGGAAAAGGCTTCAAAGAATTACAAAAAAATCTGAAACAGGTGGGTGGCATAACTGTATGGTATATATATATATATCAACAATTTCAATTGATTATATTTGATCTTTTTTTCAAAGTGTTCTATTGACTTTAAACTTTTGTTACTATTTTGATTTTCCTCCCAACATGCAATATATATTAATTCAAATTTATACAAATCTCTTTTCTATACACTGTACAATTGTTACTGAAAAATATTTGTCCTCTATTGCACATATTATTTATCATATACAAATATATACACTTCAAGAAATACGATCATCTAGTAAAAAAAAAAATTTACTCGTTTTGGGTATACATTAAAATATAATTAAATCATAACTTAAATATGTCTTCCTTCAAAAAAATCTTTTACAATTGAAACAAAACACAAGTTTCTTTGAACTAAGAGAAGGAACATTATCTAAATCATAACAAAATTTATTCAAAACATAACAAAAAGTTAATCTATTTCATAATTATATATTGTACTGATTTTAATTTTATTCATGGAAAGGACATAAGCATGTAACATGAAGGCAGTTTATCAATTTACTGATGAAAGAAAAAGCTAATTACTTCTTTATTCATGATTACTATAATTACTAGCTGCTACCAATAAATTGCCAATATGCTGTTTTAGATTTCAGGATTGTTAGTATATATGTTGCTTTCTCCTGCATAAACTTACTGTACTTAAACCCTCTTTGAACAACTTAATAAAAGTTTCAATAAATATATAATTATTAAAAAGATTCAGATGGTCTAATACCTTTGATCTTAAAAACAAGACATTAACAAAAATAATAATAACATGATAGTACCATTATATATTACAATATTATATCCTATATTTTTATATAATGAATCTGGGATGACTGACTATATATATACATGTATCCATAATGAGTATATTGACGTAACATTTTGTTTAACTTTCATAAAAGCTGTTCAATCCAAATCCAATTGATAAAAAACGGAAAAATATCTACTGACTATTCAAATATTTGTCTATAGCAGACGTGATATTTCCTAAATGGTTACACTGCTGCCAAAATAGGTTCTCAAACTCTGTGATTGCACTCTTTTTGAACCCTTTGATGGAAAAACTTTGCTACTTTTGAACACAGCTAGCTGATATAAACTTGTCAACAGTTTTGAACATCTTTTATAAGACAATTTAACAAGTGTTTACCAACTTGAAATGAAGATAGTATAAGATGATAATAATGATAGATTAATATAAACTGATGGTTAATATGGGACTGATTGTTAACTAATTAACATAATATTCTAATAGCTGAGACATTTAAGTTAATTGAATACAAACATCACTAAGTCTTATAATGCCAATCATCAAAGGAGCCATTCTCAATATCAGACAATAATTTGTTAGCAGTGTGCAAGATCTGACAATGAACAATCTCTCAGGATTACTTGCTGTGGCATTAGTATAGCCTACAGTGAATTAGATTCCCAAGCATTTCACAGATCACAATCCAACACACTACCAACAGAATCCTCACTTAAGAGTACATATCAATAAAATAATGAAGAATGAATAATAATCATGGTAATATATAGGAATGATATAATAATGATGATACTAACATGCCGTCTCCAACTGTCATACATACTTCACATTCTGCTCAGGATCAACAAAATATTTTCCTACAAAATAAAATAGAACATAGCTGATCAAAAGTGGTGCAGTGAGACGAAATTTTGAGGATCAAAGGGACTAAAGAGTAAAATCCATGATAGATAGAGAATTTGCACCAAAAAAGCATCAAATAATTCAAACTTATCTGGAAAACTTTAACTTCTCTAGATGGTAAACATTTAGTAATGTTGAGATTACACTAACCTGAAGCAAATCTCTTTTTCGTCAGGGATAATCTGTAACCATTGCCAATTAATTCAAATTCTGTTCCTGATAAGGTAGCCCCCTCACACATAAACTGTAATGCTGTAGTTGATGGTTTACAGGCACCAGACTTCATATCAAACTTAGCCCGAATACAACCCTGGCTGGCTTGTTCACTGACATCAGATATATCATTTAATTTCCATGTGGCACGATGAGTTTCACCATTCCTGAAATCAAAATGTTGATCTCAATAAAAGAAATATACATGTCAGTTATCTTGAGAAATGAATTATAATTCCTTTAAAATTTCACATGTCCAGAAAAATTTACACATATTTAGGACATTCATTGTCAAGTCATTTTTGTTCAGTATTTTCCATACATCAGCAACAATTTGAAGCAATTCCTAAGGTCAACCTAACAACTTACCACACTCCATTTGGTATACTCTGCATTTTACTGACATTTCCCTCTATACCGGCTATAACAGAGATATTTTTTAACGTGGCTGGTGATGACATTGAAGATGGGTTATATCTGTAATCCAGTCTAAAATCTGTATTATTTTCATTACATTTCCAATAAACCACAAGAGGTATTGGTGTACTTTCAACTCCTGGTAAGTTCTTCACCTAAAATACAATATAATAAGTCTACTCTCTTCATAATATTAGTCACATTCTTTTAAAACAGTGTGTATTTCTATTATTGATGTATCTAGCTATGAAACTATGAACTAACTAACTAAAGAATACAACTGAAACTATACCTGATATTTGAGTATATCTATGTTAAAATATGAAGCTGTTTTATTTTTCTCTCCTTGTTGTTTAATATGTTCAGTTAGAGCTGCCATATCAAACTGGTACTGTAAACCATTATTTTCTGTGTGGGTCTCATCTCTACAAAATATACCAATTGGCTCAGATTTGTTTGATACTACTACAGAGAATCAAAACCTTATGGTAGGGCGAAAAATGGTAGGGCGAAAATGTAATGGAGTTTTACATATTACTTTTCTGCTTCTAATTAGCCTAATGAAGATGTGAAACCGAATTTTTGACAGAAAAGCAGCATTGACCATTAAGGTTGAATATACGCTCCTTTACTATATTATTATCTCAACTATAAGTTATATCCTTCAGATAGAAATAGTTTCATATTCGTTACATAACTGTTATCTTAAACACTGAAAACTTATGACCGTTTTTTTTAACATAAAAATTCATAATACATACTTGACAAGGAGTTGTGAATTAACTATTATATTTTCTAATCGGCTGGTATTTTTTAAACGGAATGTTAACATAGCTGGTGAAGGATTTTCAGTAAAAGCACGAACTATTCCAGCTGGAAACGATAACATCACTGTACCAACAGTTTTAACTGTGCACCTGTAAAACAAATCAAACAAATATTAGATCAATTAAGCCCACAGAAATTTTGTCCTCTTTACAGATTAAGAATGTCTTTACATATAAACTATGCAACTATAAACCTATGCAATATAGCCATTTTTTCTTAATTGATTTTATTCCTGTATTTTTAAATGTATCTGTTATCAATTAGTAAGTAAATGTAAGACAACTTACTTTGCAGCATCATGTCCTTTAAAGAAAGCATTAATAGTTTCTGTTAACGCTATTGCTATGGGTATAGTGTCAGACATACCAAGAGTTAAGGGACTAGGACCACGAGATGATCCTACCGGTGTTGATGTAGTATTAAATGTAACACTACCACTACTCTCTGATCTTGTCATTGGCAAGGTACTGTTTAAAATTGGTTTGGAATTCTACAAGCAAATTTGACAGATCAGTTATTAAATTAATACGTAATATTTTCATATTATAGAGTTGAATACTTGAATCTTGATACTAGTTCCTTCATTGGAGGCAAAAACAGTTTTTAGAATAGTCAACAAAAGAAGCCTTAGAAACGACCAAAAGCAAATTTTCCATTTCCTATGAATTCATAGTTAATGAGGAACAAAAATAACCCCAATAAAATCTTAACCAGGAACAATTTTGAGATCCACTAACCTGTGATATCAAACCTTTATTTCTAGATGGTGGTCTGGCTATAACTGTACTAGGAAATGATGTATTAAAACTATTATTAGATATAGGGGAGGTAAGAGGACCAGGTGTAGATCTGCCTGGTACTGGAGGTGGTCCACCGTTGTTAATATCATTGATACTTTGATTAAATAGATTGCTCAAATCTGAAATCAAAAACAACACAGAATAATCAAATATCACTGAAAAAGTCCTTAGGTAACCTACCTCAGGGGACACTAGACGAGGGAGATGGTAATATACATGCATACAAAACATAAATATAGCAATGTTGTCATCTTCATCCTTGGTGACCAATCCAATCAATTCGCTGCATTCTATGATACAAGAAAGTGACTATTGCAGTCATGGTATAAGACTACGTAGTTCATAATATATCTTGACATTGTGAAGATGCATTGTTGTCAGCTTTTGGACTATATATTGCAAACTGGTTATTTGATAACAATTACTTACTTGATGGTAATGTAGGTGAGGTGATACTACTCTGTGTTGGACTAATAAAATTACTATCTGTTAATGGTGAGAGAGGAGAAGGTAAATTATAACCGCTGCCAGTTGGAGTGGAAGCACTGGATGAAGTAAAAAAATCTAAATTTAAAAGATCTTGACTAGGTTTTAGAGAACTGAAAATATAAATAAAAAAAAATCATTAACATCTTAAAAACTAGTAGTAAACCAAATGAAAATCTGAAAATCTTTTAATATGAAAACTCTGAACTTGAAATGATGACTAAAGATAGTTCGAAGTAAAAGTTTATTTGAAATTTGATAAGTAAGAAGTAAATCTGTCTCCTTATAATGACACAGATGTACTTCTAATGAAATAATAACAATATTTCTCCAATTTTCATTTGATTTATGTACATAATATTCAAAACATTCTAAATCTGAAAATCATTTTTAATAACTTGTTATATATTGTTGATGTCTCCTTTTTATTAATTTTTTTTCTTTTTTACTTCAATAAATTATCTTTTTCAAATATTTGAATGTACATCAACTTTGATTAAGCTTACTAAGTTAAAAAAAATATGCCAGGGCTAATTCTAGGATTTATGAGCAAACACTTTCAAAAGACAATACAAAATAATCTGTTCCATACAAACTGTTAATATAGATAATCTATAGAAAATAGATTATGCTAGGTATTTCCTGTAAGAGCACCAAGGTAAAGAGTTGGGGGATTATAAAAGCTAGTTTAGGTCGAATAGAGAAGATATTTGTACAATACCACTGTACAAATTGTTACCAAACCCCATGGTTAAGAAAAAGTCTTTGGAGGTTATAGCATTGTGGGTCTAAAAGTTTAAGAGGGGATGGGAATAAATAATTAGCAACAAGAATAGGTATTTTAACATTTTGTAATGTTATGATATACATGTATTGCAATTTTCATATATCGAAGTACATTCATTAGATATTTAATTTGCTCAGTAACAAAGATAGTAAAAGAATATAATCAAATTTAAATCATCATGTACATGACACAATTAATGTAATTATTAGTTACAAGGTAATTATCCACACTGTGTTAATGTGATGTTATAATTAAAGGATATAAAACAGAGTGATTATTTACTCTGGGTTAAAATTAGTTAATTTGATTCATTGGTTAAAACAAGGTGATTATTCACACTGAGTTAAATAAATTGATGTTAGAATATATACTGATATTGTAGAGAATTCTACTTACTCTAATGTATCAGATTCAGATTGTGACCTCTTCATCTTCTTATCTATTGGAGTTTGGCTTCTTCTCCTCTATAATAACAAAGACAATCAGCAATTTAACATTCGTCCCATTGTTCTGTACATTTTTGGACTGATAATTTGAAAATTTTGCCCAAAGAACAAAGCTAATGAAAATCAACAATTCTACATTAAAAGTTTCAACCTTCAGTAATTGCAGCTTCTAAGAAAAAGATCTTTCATGACAGACCGAGTCATGAAACTAAACCAAGCCATCAATTCAATGGTGGCTTCATTTAAGTCAAAACAGTACAGTTTAAGCTCAAGCACACGTTTTGAATGAAATTAACAGAGCAAATTTCTGATCTGACCCCTAAGACTCTACAGTAGAACTGTTTGTACTTACAATAGCAGTAGGAGATAGACGTAACCCTTCAACAGAGGCTTTAATATCTTCAACAGTTCCTGTAGGTGTAGCTCCGTTAGGACTCAGTGGTCTAATCTGTACTTTGATCTTCTTTTTGGAATCTTCTCCATCTAAAAGAGAGAAATAAAGTAACACTGACACCAGAGATGCTGGAGGTTCAATAACAAAATCTATGTCACACTTAAAACAATTCAATTTATAAAAGACAGACACAATCTTTCTGATGGGTACAATTCAATATGCTCTCAAGTTTAACAATTTTGTAGCAATTTACTACAAGCCTTCACTGTGAATACCATACATATTACTAGGAATGGAATAAGTAAAAAAGTATGTACCTGAATCAGTATCACTATCACTAGAATACCAACTATTTTTATCACCATTATCTAGTATGAGGTTAAGGATATTTTTTGGGTTAATGTAATGAACTATCTCATTACTTAAAAAGCTGGAAGACAATCTTGGTTGTGATCTTGTGGATATAAACCTCCATACCAAATTAGGAAAAATTCAGACAAAAAAAAAATGTTCTCTTTTAACAACTTTATAGCAAGGGCTATAACTCAGGAAATTTATAAAATTGTATCCATTTCAAATTGTTAGAGATTTAATATAATCAATATAAATCTGACAAAAACTGTGGCCTCAACTGCAGTTAAAAGTCAATTGTAAATATACAGAAAGGGGTGACAGCATGAAAGTATAAAAATCTGTCAAATATTGGAATAAAATATAGAGCTTACCTATGTCTATGTAAACAATAAAGGTAAGTGAACAAGCACTACATATCTAGAACCTAGTATTTGGCAAGATAGAAGTTATTAGAAGGATACGATCATTTGTTTCTTCAGGTCGTATGTTATAGCCTTCTTCGTCAACTTCCGGTGCAGTCTGTAAAATATAAATATCAACTCATTATAACTAAACTTGGTTTGTACTTTATACGAAAAAATTATTTTAATTATCATGGATTTTGAACTGTTATAAGTTCTGGCACTTCATATATTTTACTTAAATTTGTGGCAAATAGGTATAATTATTATGTTTAAATTTATAAAACAAAATATATAACCTTACATTGTCAGTGGTATCATTTTCTCTGAAAATAAAATAATCAATCAAAATAAATACAAAGATCTGTTGATGAAAATTATGTCATTAATAATTGTAAAAATAAATCCAAATAAATGTAAGATTCCAATTGTCAATATTATTTTTGATTTCAAATAAACTTTGAACACCTCAAGCTCACAAACAAATGGTTAAGAACAATTTTATTTTTTTTACTCACAAAGACTCATTATCTTTATCATCTTTGTCTTTTTTCTTTTTTTTCTTGGTTTTTTCTTTCCGATTTTTCTTAAGAAACCCTGAAAAAGTTTTTCATTGGATCATATCTTAAAAATCTTGAGTAGCAATTTAGAATGTTATATTTTTCTAATAATTCATAAATTCAAATATGTCAAAAAGGAGAATTTTAGTTGAAAAGATAAGCTTTCTAATATGCCAACATAAAGCCACAAAAAGGTAAAAAAGCTTAATCAGCCAAAGAATGCTTAGCAATATAATCAAAAATATTTTGGATTAAATGTTTCAACTATATCAGATTAAAGCACCAATGCATGAAATCAAAACTAAAATGTAATTACAAGAAAGAGGTAAAATCTATTTCTAAGAACCAGTAATAGAAATCAAACAAAAAGGTCAACTAAGCTTTGGTTATATCTACTTAAACACAGGAGTAGCAAACACCACACACTCAAAACACTTCAAAAAATAAACACTAAAAACACAGCACACTTCAAATATCAAAAAGCATTCCAAAAGCATTTTGAGGATCAAACCCTGAAAATCTGCTAAGAAAACATAAAAGTTAAATGAAATTGGAAAAACCCAGTAAAATCGTATGTTAGTAAAATCTAGGATGAATGTGCTTATTGGATGATTGTTAATATGAACAAAACTGGTCATAACATTTATCTTATTCATTTATCTTATTTGCTTATTATTTATCAACAAAGATAAACAATAGAACAATCTGATATTCAATGGGATCATCTTAATGAGCAAATAAAAGGATCATACCCTTTAAGTTATATTCTCTGGGTACACTTACTTAGCGCATATGTCTAAGGTACAAATACCAAAAAAGATACCCTGATGATTGTGAAGGTGAATTTATATCTATCGAGATACATGTATTCATTTCATTTTATCTAAATTGAGTAAAATGAATAAGATAATGTTATACTAATCTACAGTAATCTTTAATATAATAAATATAACTAACTAAACTAGTTAAAATAGACAAAATAAATCAGGCAGAATATCAGCAATATTCAGAGTATTCCTAACAGAGTAAAGCCAGCTTGTTATAACATGTCTTTTAAATAAAAGTTTTCTAAAAGCATGACTACTTGGAAATATATAAATAAAGTTTGATTGCAATATAACAAAATACAATATTTGATAAATCTTATCCACTCTGATTTAGTTTGTCTTATTTTTTTCTTTAACTAATGACCCAAAACCATGCAGTAAAAAGTGCAACAAGCCTAAAGATTCCAATAAGAGGATATATATTGTATATAGGAGGTTTTATTTACATGTTCTCGATACTCGTAACTTGACACTGCGACTTAATGGTCCTGGTTGATCAGACATCACAGGACTCGCACTACCACTCGAGTCTGGAAAAACACAGGTGGAAAATTCAACCTCGGCACTGGTGCTGTGTTGTGATAGGGCTGCTGATTCACACAATAAATCTATGGTCTCAGCTAAGTGCTCTCTTTCATGAGGAATATTATAGCTGGCAATACCTTATGAAAGTACCAAATACCAACTCGCTGAGGCAGTACTTGATTTAGAACATTTAGAATTTTGTTTCAAGAACAGCAGCCCTAAACTGTGGTGTAATTCATATCATAGTACATGCTAAAAGTAGGCATCTACATGTTATATATTTTATCTATTATAATATGAAAATATATTCCTATAGCAAGTGACAGAGCCAAAAAGGACATTTTAAAAGAAATTCTTGGCTCTATCATTTGAAACATTCGTATAAAATGAGATTAAAAAGGAACCAAAATATCTACATGATGATAGATTTGTTAGAATGAATAATGAACTCTAAAAGCATCCATGTGATCCCAATGGCCCGTTGACAAGGTGAATATGAAAAATAGATATTTAGTGGTGGCATTGTCCTAACCTCTCTTTAGTCCCTTAAGTCCAAAAATATGTCCATTAAATGTATACAAGGTCAAATCTATCCTAAGGAATGGGTCAGGCAAAACATAAGATGCAAAATTAAAAACATATCAAATAATGTGCAATATAAACTGAAATTGAAACAGTTGGATTAGTCAACACATTGTTCACAACACACGAGATAATCTTACCAGTAAACAGCACTAACTCTGTAACACAAGGTAAATAAATCATACTCTAAGGGCTTGAGTAAAATGGTGTCAAAAATTCAATGTTTAAATCATCCAAAACATCTGATGGTACTTCTCTTTGGAAGAGTCTACTACTATACAACTTTTACTCTCTCTTTGGACAAGAGTTTAAATTTCTTGCTGTTATGCATTTTTATTACATATAACTCTTGAAGATTAAAAACATATCAGCATCGGCATTGAATTCAAAATAGTGGCTCTATAGTGCTATAAGGGGATTGCCATATTGTGAAGGAATATAAATGATACTGTGCTCAATGGGTTGAAATGTGCAAGTAATGGATGATAATATTAGTTGGTAGGAAGCTCCTGATTGCACTATATGGTTAATCATAATATACCTGTATCAAAAGGTCAAGAAAATAATTTTTTCTTCTACTATAAACTTTAAAGTTGAATAGAATTCTACAAGCACTTCAAAGTTCCTATATAATTAACATTTCATTAATATACCCATGTAATGGTGTATATACAAATAATTTCCTTCAAATCAATTTGCCAACTAAAAAGTTTTTGCCAGTCTCAGCAAATGACCAAAAAGGACATTGGCCAGATATAGCCACTTTACAATGTAAAAACTAGATATTGTCACAACAACATAATAAGTTTCATGAAAATCAATTCAAAGTACTGAAACTACACCATTTTCTATATATTAATCTATTTCAAAGCAACATTTTATATAAATACAATTTTTTTTTTAATAATTGAACACTATAGCATTTTCACGAAAACTGTAATGGACGGATGAGCAGGGGTGCAGACAATATAAGGATAAGGGTTGTATAAGCAATACCTTGTCGTTGTTTTTCTGTTAAACTGTCTCGTTTTTCAGCAGGTTCTGGTGACATTGGTCGTAATGTATTAATACTTGATAAGTCTGGTTCTACGAATGATAATGGCCCTGAAATATCGTATTATAAGTAAGCTTATATGATATTAACAAAACCAAAAATCTTTCAAATTAAAGCAAACTTTAACCATGCAAGTTAAATCATAATAATTTTCTGTAAAAAACAGTAATTTTGATATCCCACCTAAAAAGTTGCCTAAATGAGTTTAGCGAGATGTACTGGTGACATATTGCCCTTTTACATATCTATATACTTACCAGGTTTCTCTTTACCAGTTGTTTTATTTTGTATAAATGTTTCAAATAATCTTTGTACAGTTAAATCATCACAGGTTCGCTTAAATTCTGTATGTACCTAAATTGAAAAAGTTCATCAAAGGCTCAATAATTTCAAACATGCAATCAGACATGTTCATAGAGGATCACCTGTCGGTTAGAAATTTGAAATCTTTACACAACATCGTTTGCTTGGTTACTTGGAACAAATCATGGTCAGCGTGTGAAAGTCTGGTGACCTTGAAAACACCATCTATCCTCATTACTGACAAATTTTGTGACAATGTGAGATTCATAAATGGCACCAAAACATCAACTTACTTGTCCAATCAAAACATGTTGATTTTCCCAAGATTTAGTATATGTGTCTATAAAATCTTTCATTTGACAAACATGTTCTTCTTCTGCTTCTTGAAAATGCTGTAATGAAAAAAGCATAGCTTAAAGTTAAAGTGAAAATGGTTACCTCCCTTTTTACATTACAGAGACAGCTGGACAATTTTGTCATTGATAAGTTAATAAAATTAAAACTCATTTTCCTTTCTTTCTTATTTTTTATGAGATAAGGTTAGGCATTGATGTTTCTAAATTACTTACATGGCAAGAATCTGTCATCTTCTTTTCATACTCTACTCGAATATTATTGTATTTTTCTACTAAACCTCTATACTCATCACCTAAAATATGAATATTTATATAGACTTAATGCATGTATACACCAGATCCAACACAACCTGTTTCAACATGGTATGACACAAAACAACACAGTCTTTCAATACACATTCATTCACTGTCGAACTGGTACGACACTAAAACATTGCTTGACAAAAGTGAAAATGTAAAATATAATAGATAATATTTGTGGAAGATGTAAATAGAAATAAAAAAGTACTTTATTCATCGTTTACAAATACAAAAAAACTCAAGCAGTAATCATATCAAACCTACAGGTTTTCTTTTTCTTTGTCTCTGCCTTGTCCAAATCTTTCTGTGTGGCATTATCTCGTTTTAATCTTTCTAATTCAAGGCACCTTGTGTGATACAATTCTTTGGCCTGAAAATCAAAAATGGAAAAATTTGATTGTTTTACTTCTAATGGCAAATGCCAGAAACCTTCTGTTATAATGACCCCTAATGAATACTATTAAAATATAAGCTTACCTTATGAACAGCTACTGTGGTTTGTTGAATAGCTTGAACTGTTTCTGATGTACCAGCTTCACCTTCTTTCATCTACACAATATGATATAAAGTAAGCATGGAATCATTATGTGAGATAGGAAGGTTTGTCATACATTCGTTTCTACTTTTTTCTTAGCTTATATATCCTCCAAAAAGACAATGCTTGGAGTTTGCAGAGATGTAAGTGACCATTGAATTGATTTCCGGAATTTTTGGGAAGCGTAGAAGCGTAGCGTTAAATTAAGAAATTAATCTGCAACCCATTTCCATCCTTAGCTCTAGGATGTCCTAGAATCAATGTTAGAAGATGAGAAACTAGGACGTCCTAGCGCTAAGATCATTTCGAGAATACAGGGCCAGAAGTCTTACATCTCTGAGTTTTATGTCAATGCGTGCATTTCTGTACTGTTAGAATTTATTGTATTTTATAAATATCCATTGGAGAATCCTACTTACAGTCTTCTGCCGTTTATGTTGATCTTCATTGTATCTGATAATATCTTTAATAAGATCAGACCATGTATGAACTAACTGCATGTGAAGACTGGCCAACTTTTCTACCAATGATTTCAACAAATTCCAAAATGGAGCAAAGGTCCTGTTAAATTAAAGAAAATCGTTAATGTTTCATCCTAATAGCTTCAGGCTTCTAACTACCAGTACTTTATTTACAAGATGGCTAATAGTGCTTACAGAGTACCGTATATCATAAATTATGAAATAGCATTATTATCAACATCAAAATTTACTAAAGTAATTATAACAAAACTTACCCAACTTGTGCACAGTTTGCAGCAGACTTGGCCAACTTTGTAAGAAGTTTACTGTATTGTTCTTCAACTTGGCATCTACAAATAAAAAATTATATTGAATATCCAGATATCAATTAATTCATATCTCATTATATTAAATGCTTTTGGATAAGAATTCATTTTGATTAATGATCGATCACAATGAATGGGATTCAACCTTATTCAGTAGTATTATAATTTGAATTAAGTAACATCCACACTTACCCATCTCTGAGGAATTCTATCAAGTCTTTACTTGAAGTCTGACCATTCTTTAGATTGTGGTATAAAACATAAAAACCATTGTTTTTCTCACCCTGGGAAGTAAAGAAACAAGCTATTTAAACTAAACTTAAATAATCTATATAATAAAATACAAAAACAAAGAGCAAAATAACAATATTTTACAGCAAAGTAGAAATGACACGAAGTTACAAAAGTTTTAGTTCTTCAGTTTTAGACTATGGTTGTGGTAATATTAATATCAATTTGGCCAAACTTGTCTCTTTACTACACTTGTTTGCTGCAAGCATATTACTGATTAGACTTGTTATTTGAAGATTAAAGATTAAATCTACCCAAATAAAAGAAGTGTATAAAACTAATAATATATTCATATTATGTTTTCAATATTTTTAAGAAGTCTTCAAATAAGACTACTGACTACAGTTAGGCCTAATAAGAAAACGTCAGTGTCAGACAGAAATTATAAATTTGTAATAAGTAAACAAGCTACACCATATGAATTAGTATGGCTATGGACTGGGTGGTGAAAATGCTTCACTCATATGAGTAGTGTTTTGGCTTCTGATCGAGACGCCAGAGGTGAAGCAAATTAGGGAAAAATATTGTGAAACTTGTCTCAGATTGAAAATTTCGGTTTGACACACACCCCTTTACTTCATATCAAGTTGTAAAGAGCTGGCTGGTATTTCAATGAGGGAAATTAAATAAGATTCGACTAATGTATCATTTGGACAATATGCATTAATATTTCATGTCACATACCCAAAAATGATCAGCAAATGTTGTCATTTTTTAAGAATAACATTTGTACTCCTAGAAAATGGCGTTTATTTAGACTAATTGCGCATGCGCACGCTAGTGGTCTCGCGAGAAAATGGAGACGAAAATGTAGTCCGAACCCCTGACTATGACATTGCATGTCATAACAAACTCGGACCACTCATATACTCAAACAATTATTTATGGATTGAATGTAGATTTTTTGAGTTCATTGGTTGATGAACGCAGAATTTTCACGAATGAATGGCGAATGTTCAATGTGAACTAAATATTCCATTATATCGCGATATGTATCGTAGTATGAGGCAAATGACGTCAATTCCAAACCACTGTCGAATTATAATGGTAGCCTACTTGAAATAGGCATTTCACAATAAAAATTTAAAATTCTCAACTACTCCACAATAGAGATAGACTTTTTGTAGTTTTTACAAATATGGCCTTGGTAAGGTTTTTCTCTAGTATGAACTCTCATGTGCTCAAAAAGACTGTCAGAGTAAAACGCTTTTTAGAAACATCACATTAGTGAGATTTCTCTCCAGTAGCCTATGTATTCTCATGAGAACATTCACTTTATTTGATCGGGTAAAACGCTTTTTACAAACATCATATTGATGAAGTTTCTCTCTAGTATGAATTCTCATGTGAACAGTAGGCCCTAAGTGAACTAAGAGAACTATCATCATAGTTAAATAATGTTGCAAAATCAGAGAAAAGACAAAATTGCTTAACAAGTTACATCAAATTATGAAAATGTTTTGCTTAAAAGCCACTGTTAGGGGCGTAGGGTCGGTAAGAATGAGTGCCTTGGGAACAAAAGCCATTTACTTGGGTTTAATTGGGTTTCCTTAAAGGTAGACGGAACAATTTCTTCTGCAACCGCAACTGCTTGGTTTTCCTGGGTGGGTACAACATCAATCAATTGGTTGTTTAAAGTTGATGGACAAAATACTTGTTCTTCAACAAGGCCAAATACCACATTTAGCAAAACCATTCAGTTGGCATTGTAGATGCTTTGATGTAAGCTGTGGAAAATAGTTTCGAAACTATGAATTGAGTCACACCCCTTCCAGGATTGTCTTGCATCCAGCTACCAATTGCTTGGTTATAATAAGTTTGTAATGGTTTGAAAAAACTAACATCCAAGGGTTGTAATCTATGAGTTGTGTGGGGTGGTAGAGACAGCATAATAATTCCATTACGTCGGGCATAGTTAATGGCTTCTAAGTTTTTGGTGTGAGAGTAATGACCATCCATCATTATCAGAACAGGGCTTTCAATTGTCGACTTTACTGTGTCACCAAAACGTTTGACCCACATTAAAAAATCTTAATTATCTTCTTTGAAGGTAGCCTGATTTAGGCCTAAAAGTTAGAAAAGGCGAATTTTTATTGTAACAGTAACACTAACAACTATATCCCTATAAATTTGGGATAATATTTGGCGCGAATCTAGCAATCATGTTATGAGTTCTGTTCAGAATTAAAGGTCCCCTTCCGTGTAATATACTACACAAACATGTCGGTTTTGCATTTTTTTCCCCCGTTAACTTAACAAAATATACTTTATTCGTTGATCAAAATGTTTTTTGAATAGATTTCAGACTTTAAAAAGGAAATTTAAGTCCAGCATCTCGATTCAAAGTTCTTTCAACCAGCCATTCTGAAATGTTGGTGGTTCTTTTCCTTTAATAATTTATCAACTTTTAAATACTTGATGAGAAAGTGACAGTTTAAAACCATCAGAAACGTCAAAACAATTTTTGGCGGGAAGAGTTGACACGAAGAGCACGTGGATATAGAATTTTGGCTGCTGATTGGCTGAAATTCAAATTGTCAGTCAAAAAGTGGGAGGAATTGAACGTAAAATTACCGCTTTAATGTACCATTTCCAGAATTTGCATTTCATAACGGTAATTCAGATCAATAACTGTGAACTGTGACTTATTCTTACATAATTGATGTATTATGTATTATTCTGAATGGTTTGGGACTATTTCGACTATTTCTGTGACTTATATCTGTGAATTTATGTAATATTTTCTGTATTATTATGGATGGTTTTGGATTATTTTGTGATATTTCTATAAAATAAGGGATAAAACCATGACAAATCACACTTTTGGAAGGAGTGACAAATATTGGACACTTATTCAGAAGAGGGTAAGCTATTTTCTTCATTCAAAAGTATGATTGGAATCTTAAAAGGAATACAAATAGGTTTTCTAAACTGGAATCAGGGACACTGATAGCATCGATTTGTACCATTACAATTTTTAGTCAGACCTCTGTAATCCAAAATCTACTAAAACTAGGCCCTTTTTGACGTCACTCTTGCAGAATTTGCTTAATAATATCTACAGTGATTGTGAAAGTGACGTCATTAAACGCCCTGTTTTACTTTAATAGAATTGCGAGGCATGTATACCTTGAATAGCTCATTTCATTATTTCTGAAAAATGATAATCGTGAATTGGATGCAATCAATTTACCAGTATGTTTTAAACGAAATAGTGTTTTAGAACCTACATCCTGCGTTTGATTTGGCTTATGAAAACGTGCAATGAGGGAAATTTTGCCAGGCCAGGGTTTTAGCCTACTCTTTTCGGCAACCAACTGATTTTAACATGCAGTCTGTAACAAAAAGGATTAAGGTCTGGTTTTATTCCCATCCATAGAGCGTTAGATTGTTTAATTGCTGGGGAGTGGTGGTATTAAAGGGATTTCATTATTAGTTTAGAAAATGATATTAATATAGGGATGAGGGAAGTCTTGTTTAGAATTAGGTGGTGGGGTTTGAAAGGGAATGTGTTCTGTTAGTTTAGAATGTGATATTACGGTTCTATGAGGGTAGTCTAGTTTAAAATTAGGGGGTGGGTTCAGGCCTAAAAATTCGTCGAAATCGAGGACAATCTCGGCGTATTCTCCCACAGGCAGCCTAGCTGTGAGAGTCTATTGAATGATGTACTTAAAATTTAAAAACAATGCACCTGCCCTCATGCAAATGCCTTTTCATTGTGGGGGTGGGGGGAGGGGGCATATGCCTGCAAATAGAGTAAGCGAGAAAGGTGTATTCGATTTCTCGTTCCAGACATATCTAATGTGTTTTTATATGATAGTCACGACATGGAGAAGGCACCGTGCATCGAACATAGCAAGGGATTCCATGCAATTTTCGAAAATAAAATTAATATTCAGCAAGTCAACAAGACATTCTGTGGTTCTTGTTTTTAAAACCACTTGAAATTATTTCGGAAAAATAAGAATCGTGGATGGGATGCAGTCAATTTACTACCGGTAGTATGTTTCAAATTTTAAATGAAATGTGTTTGATTTGGCTTATAAAAACGGGCAATAAGGAGGTGGGGTTTTAAAGGGATGGTGTCCTATAATTGTTAGTTTAGAACATTATATTAAGGTAGGGATGAGGTATTCTGGTTTAGAATAAGGGGGTGGGGTTGTAAAGGGATGGTGTCCAACAATTGTTAGTTTAGAACATTATATTAAGGTAGGGATGAGGTATTCTGGTTTAGAATAAGGGGGTGGGGTTTTAAAGGGATGGTGTCCTATAATTATTAATTTAGAACATTATAGTAAGGTAGGGATGAGGTATTCTGGTTTAGATTTAGGGGGTGGGGTTTTAAAGGAAGGGTGTCCAATAATTGTTTCAGCTTAAAACTAGATATTTAAGTTAAGATGGGGGTAGTCTAGTTTAGAATTAGGGGGTGAGTGTATTATTGGAATGGTGTATTATAGGCTATTTGTTAGTTACAAACATGATACTAAGGTAGGGATGAGGGTAGTATGATTTAAAATTAGGGAATGGTGACATTAAAGGTATGGTGTCTTATAATTGTTAGTTTAATAGAAGATATTAATGAAGGGATGTGAGTAGACTGGTTCACATTAGGGAGTGGGGTATGAAAGGGATGGTGTCCTATAATTGTTAGTTTAGAACAATGTATTTAGGTAGGGATGTGAGTAGATTAGTTTAGAACAAGGTATTAAGGCAGGTATTAGAGTAGACTGGTTTAGAATTAGGGGATGGGGATTGTTATTAGATCATATCTATGTAGTTTTCTTATTGTGAGAATTCAGATATTTGACTTGTGATTTATGATAAAAATACGACAGCCCTTTAATAGTGAAGTAACCTTTTCACATCTTAAAATGTTATTCTTTTTTCAGTTACAGCAGTTTAGAAAAGTTATCAGTATGCAGAGTTTAAATCGCTTTTGGCAAATCATTTCTTTTTGGTGAGTTTTTATTTTATAATTAACTTTCCTAGACTGAAAATAACTTGAATTATTTCTCATGTTTTTCAACTGTTAGGCCTAGGCTCAAGCAAGGGGTAATCTTGTGAATTTTTGTGTGGAAGGGACTTTTTACTCAAGGTAGTAATTGTTATATTTCCGAGTCTGATGCAAGTAATTTGAAAAACTTTTGATATGTTTAAAATGCAGATGTTTATGGTTCTTTTTTTTTTTGCAGGTGAATCCACTTACCTTTATATAACAAACTTTATCTATATTTTGATGATTTGTTTAGAATCATTGACCATCCACAGTTGTCATAATATATGCACATCAATCATAAATACTTTTTAAAAATGGTAAGACACTACAATTACGAGTCCACTTAAAACTATAGATTCCCTGTAATTCCTCAAATACAGCAAGGAAATCTTATATCATACAAAACATTTGATACATACATTACTTAAATGTAAATGAGTATTGGTTGTAATACTAAATGTCCCAGAACAGGACATAAATAACAAATTCGTCAGATCATGGTTGGCAAGTGGAGTCACTTGCAGAAAATCGATACAAAACCTTCATGTTTCATAATTTTAATCTGATTGAATGATTCATTACAGATATGAAATGTTCTCATCAATTAGAAAATGATCGGTTGGTAGAAATCAAATTGTGTTCCAGCACTCTGTTAAATGGTGAGTCGTCTTTATTAGGGAACAAACTACTATGATCTCGAAGGGAGGTCCCATGCGCCAGAAGTTGTAAAGACCCGTGTCTGTATACATATG